AGAACAACACTGTTACGGTTTCAGTGGAAGGCATACTGTACACATTTTCCCTTCAAAGTGTCATTCACCGCGGCTCTGAGTGTCTTTAGAAACCTTAGAAATGTTGAGGGAACTATCACAATGGATTCCTGCTTGAAAATGTTCAAGGCTGTGCTTTTGTTGTTATGCATAGAGGCTTTTTTTAAATATATATTAAGAGGAATATTTAAGAGTCATATTTGACATAAGCACTTTATTCACTTTTTGATCATTGTTAATCAGAATAAGGGGGAATAGTACTGTCAATACATTTTAGTGTACCTATTCATTGGCATGCGATAATTAATCTGTCAAAGTACTGACATCTGTATGAACAGAATTAGGGTAAAACTTATCTTCCTTTCAATATAGCGAAATATGCAGAAGTCCAGTCAACCCTGAAGAGAATATCTTTCTTCACTCTTCATTTAGGTGCGGACAACTCCATGCTTAATGCGGTGAGAAGTGATTCCACACCGCAGCTGACACAAGCACACATGCACCATTATTTTGTTTTATTTTGGGGTCCCTAAACGCAGCAGCGAGTCCCAAAACACATCCACCTGAACCACCGGCAGCTGGTACCCCTCCTCCCCGTCTGCACTCGCATGGAAATAAACCTAGTGTTTTCTACTGTCCTGGGGATTTCTCTCCAGTGATTTGTGGCCATTATGAATATGTTCTAAGTGAATTTTAGCAGGTGAAGTTTCCGTTTGGCTCCTGTTGGAGGAGGCATAATTCAATAGGTAGAAATGGAAAGGCGTGTGATACTTGACTTTGACTGCTATGTCAGAACTATTGCTCAGTAATATATTTTACTCTAGCAGTTTTCAAACTCCACAGTATTTCTCTACCTAGCTTTTTGACCCAGTTTATTTTATTGCATTGTTCTGGACTTTCTATTCAGGTCTAACCCAAATTAGTTTGTTTTTGTATTATTTATATAAACAATTTCTTGGGTTTGTCTGTGCAATATAATACAATTTGATTCAGTCTTAATTATGCTTGGCACTTAATGGACTTGCTTTCAGCGTGGCATGGAGGAAAAGTTAACGTCAATTTGTAATGATTAAAGGTGTCTCTTGTGTTCAGGAAATACTGTTTCAAAGGCAATTTAATTTGTTTAAATAAAAAACAAAAACACTTTTGATCAATTTATGGAAAACATTATATTTTTTGTCATGTCCAAGCTGCTTAGTCGGTCCCCTTTGGTTGGGTAAATGTGCTATTTAGAAAACTCTCCTTGTATTCGTCTTTGAAGCTTGTATTGCACAAACCACACAGGAACACACAGCCCACTACTGTTACCATTACTCATGCAGTGACAAATTGGAGACTATTATTTCATTGTTGAGCCGGTTGTCTGTTTTGTAAGAGCTATCCAGACGCTTCTCCTTTGGTTTTGTCTCCAATGAATGCTGTATCTCCAGACAGGAAGAAAGGCCCGCTGCGAAGATAAGGAACCATGCCGAAATCTGTCAGCCACATCTGAATTTGAGATGATCCAGGCTACAGGCCAAAGCTAAACGGAGGAAGAAATAACGTCTCCAAGTTTTGAACAATAGACAAACTTTTCATTTCAAGTTGTAGCATAAAGCTCTTCACAACTCGACACCATTCAAATATAAAAGAGAATGTAGTAGACAGTCGTAGCAGCAGCAGTTGTGGAGGGACTGGTTATTGTATATTAGTACTTTCGTATTCAACGCACTTTCCATCGTTGTCAAGTGAACTTATAAGTTCAAAACACGCTGTCAATTCTGAAATCACTTTAACAGGACTTTAATTGCGTACTGGCACTAACAAATCTTTTCATATAGATTAAAGTGTGCATCAAACAATACCACGCTCTTGTTCTTGAAAATCATTGGCTTTGTTCGTCCATATACTGACATTTTGTGACAAATCAGTACTTGCATTTCTAAAACGTGCGTCTCTGTTTTTTTGACTTGTCGCAGGCCCAAAAATAGCAACAAAGCAGCTCAATTATTACCCTTTCCCTTGATAAGCTTTGGAGAGTATTCATTATGAATGCCAACAAATGCTTACAAACTCACCAATTGTCCAGGGACTTGCACATCCACTATGCATTCCACACAACACATGTAAGATTAGCTCTTGTCGTGTTGTAGCATCTCACAGAGCTGATAAGATGTTTATTTGTTATTTAAATGCTAACTTGACATAAGCAATTAAGTCTACATTGCAGAGGGATTTTCAATGTACCCATTCTATTTGTGTTTTGTTCTGAAACATCTTAATTAATCTCAGTGAGGGTTGTTCATTCCTCTGATGAGACATGGAGTTTATATGCAATCCAAGTTTACATCGCAACACATTTATTATTACAATCAATACATAAATACTCAATACAAAATCTTTACTGACCTCATTCGGACAGTGCAATTTCACTGTATGTAAAAATATACAGTATAACGAGAAATAGTAGCAGATTTTCCTTGTCCACATCTGACCTTATTGGTTCTAAAGACCACTTCAATACTTCCCCCTAACACCACTTATGCTATAGCTTTACTAATGTATACATTATTGTATTATCATAGTCTTTAATCTGAAGTTTAACTCATGTGAATGATAGAAAGTATTTCCTCTTTGCACGGTAGGCCCTGAGGACACGTCTCTCTATGAGTAAAGCGATAAAAGAGATTAGAGGTCTGAGAGCAAAACTGAGAAAAGAGATCTCTCTCGGCCCTTTGTGTTTCCTCTTTAATAACGCTGTCCACTGGTTAAATTGAGATTTATTATGGGGCCCTCATATAGCCTCTTGGAGCATAGCTGTGTCATGTTGGCAACAAATTATTTATGGAAATGCAGCTTTGAAGACTCCTAGTAGTGTTACCTGAGGGCACATTCCACTTTGATGTAAATACCTTCAGCTACAAGATTCTGGTTGCAAGAAATGGTCACTTTAGAATCTGCTCTGAGGAAAATTAACCAGACATGCCTAAGCACTATGTAAGGCTTTCAAGTGAAATATATGTTTCCACTTAATAATTTAATTATTATTTAATTAACTTAATTTTTTAATAACAAAAACAATTATTATTGTTTTTGTTATTATTTTATATTACGTTTTATGTGTTTTAAAATGTTTGTAAATGTGTATGATCTTGTGTTCTTGTGAAGCACTTTGGGCTGCACTGCATGAATTTATAATGCATGAATAATGCTTTATAAATAAACTTGATTGATTGATTGATTGATTAAAATGATAACCTGGGCATTCATTAGCAACATAAAATCTGCACATTTCTGCTGGATCTTAAACCACACCCAAAATCCACAAAAAACAAAACCGTCAAATTGTATAACATTTGGTGTTAAATGCTGTCAAGTCTCTGCTTCGGTAAAAAAAAAAAATCTTTGAAACAAGTGAGAATTGGTGTTGTTTCAAAGTCAATAATTTTGGCGTACACCTCAATAAGACTTTCAAATGATTACCATAAACAGAAATAATATTGCGAGATACTAACATTGAGCCTGAATAGGAATTGGCATCAGTCATACCTATAATCTTACAGATACAATGACATGACACCCTCGATATAATGCGGTTCTCTGTTGACATGCATTACGGAGTTTAGAATGTCAAACCAGCACAGACAGACATAAAAATGCATGATTATACTTTGTTGGTGGCATATACATGGCTGTCAAATTTCATGATTTCAGCATAAATTCCGTCTGGTTTACTTCAGATCTGCATATTGTGTTTCCCGGAGAATGCTGGTTGTCATGGATATGTGGTACTTGCATCATGAGGAGTTGGATTATTCAAATAGGTTTGTTTGCCTTGCTAAGCCTAAGGCGCTCGTTTTTGCATGGGTGCCCAAAGGCAGATTGTGACTGTGCTTCCCATTTTTTAAGGCCAAAACCTTCATGTGAGGTAATGACACCACTGTGATAATCAATCACAGATACATTTTCATCAGCTCTATCTGAAAACCAAACCGGGAACGTGGACCTGTTAGAAATGCATCCACTACTGTGGCCACATAATTCAGAGAAAACATGTGATTTTTCTTTTTAGCATCACCATTTCCAATCAATGTTCATTGACACAGCGAACATTGTAACCTCAGCCAGGAGCATTTACTTGTGTGAAGACTGGGAACTAACTGATGTTGTATCTGTTTCATGGGGACTTGCCTTTTACCTGAAATTCTATTTATATATATATACACTTTTTTTTCTTCCTCTAGCCAACTCACCACCTGCTAAACTGCACTTCAGAAAAGGGCAATTGGAGCGCTCATGACACTTGTGAACACAATGTTATTTTTCTGTCTCACTGAGTTTTTGTCCACTGGCCAGCAACAGCAGTTCCCATTTTGTGCTTTGAAAACTATACAAGTCCAGATCCAAGATTTCAAGGAGACAATGTTACATACATTTATTTAATTCATTTGTAGTTTAACAATACATGTTATTGTATTTTAACAATACATTTTATTCCCATTTCACGCTTTTCATTTTACTCTGTAGTATCTCATGTTTCAATTTCTCAAGAAACGTTTGTGTAAAAATAAAGTTTACTACTGAGTTTTGTAAAGTAATAACATTTACCCCAACAACGCTCGTGTCCTTGTTCTCTGAAGCCTCTTTATTTCCTTGTTCTCTCTTTGCACCATTCCCTGCTATTAATTCCATACAAGGCCTGTCAGAGTAACAAATTGGACGATATATTGCTGCAGAAATACATGGAGAAACAATACTAATTCCCTGACACAATAATAAATTAGTAGCATAATAATAATCCCAGTAAACCACAACTCTTCTTTATATTTTGCAGGCATGAGGAGAAGGTATTAACTATACCACTGTTACAGTTATACTGTATCTTTCATCATTTATTGAGCAGTGTACTATGGCAGGCCTATTCCGAACCCATCTCTGTGAAAAGTTGTTTGTTTCTACATCATTTCTTGTTTTACTTACATTTTTTATTTTTTATCTTGCAGAGGACCAAATACCTCACGGCTTCCCCACCATCGACATGGGCCCCCAGCTACGAGTGGTGGAGAAGACGCGGACGGCCACCATGTTGTGTGCGGCCAGCGGGAACCCGGACCCGGAGATCTCGTGGTACAAAGACATGCTCCCTGTGGATATCAACAGCAGCAACGGGCGCATCAAACAGCTCCGCTCAGGTAATTAAACACACACAAAAGACCAAACGCCTAACTGCTCGGTCCGTGTTAAAAGCAGTCCAATAACCACTGAACGATGCAACATAAAATAATAAAAACAACTCAGTAAAAATATGACTCAGTTGTCTTGTCAGCCTGGCTTAGACTTTGATCAAAATGAATCGTGAACATTGCCTACAGCTTGTCACTGGCACCTTTATTAGCCGCTTCAGCCGCAGCACACATAGGCAGCCATTGAAGCAGTGACAAGCGCAGCTACATCCAAACTGCTGCAACCTTTGATAGTGATGCATGGGTTCACAACCTTGTAAAAGTACAAAGAGTATTTTTTAACCGTAAATCCTTTTAAAACGCACGCCTGGGTTAGCGGAAGGGCAGCCCATGATGTATTATCTCCGATTTAGCCTGGCAAAAAATAACAATGAAAATCAATGATGTCCTTTTTTTGCTTTGCAGCACACTCGTGATAAATAGGCATAGGTGGTTTGACTTGGAATATAAATAAAACAGGTTAATTCTCCCTGATTTGTAGATAGTATTTTAGCAGGAAATAGAGAACAGCACATTTAGTCAAATATGACATGTTTTTAGCTTCACTTGTTAATTACTTTTCACACTTACAAATGCTGCGTCTGGCAGAGTGTTGATATGCAATGCCCTCAAACCAACAATGTTTCACCAACATATTTTTGACATCTGGTGCCGGATCAGAGCATGCAGAAGTGCAAACAGATATTGACAAAGTCATGTTGCTGTTAACAGATGCAGAACAAATGTTTCTTTTCCAAAAACCCATTAGTCCTTAGAGACACAAGCTTCCCTTTAGTGACCTAAATAAGTTGTGATAAATGCCACACTGTTTATGGTATATGACTTTGATATGGTTCCTTACTAAAATGTCATTTCTATTTAAAGTTCTGCTTAAGTGGTTGTTTAAAGCTGATGTGCTACAAGGAGAAATGTGGCTTAAGCTGTTTCCACAAAATATAATCAGCACAGCAGTTTTCACAGTTATTTCTCACAGACAATGTAATGCTGAGTATGTACATAATTATAGCTCCAACTTTTGTATGAATATAGTGCAGTGATTCTTGGACTTGTTGCACAATTATACATAGCAAACACCCAAACCCTGCTAAGACGACGCATACTGATTAGTACACTGCACAACACGCCAGAGTTTGAGAATCAGTGCTCTATTTCCTACAGTCTGAAGCCATGTTTTTGTGCCGAGTGGATTACTAACTGAATCTCTCCACCCTGTTTGCATTGAATTGACTGGCGCCTGTAGGTGGTACCCCAATTAGAGGTAAGGACGGATGTGTTGGAAAATGTCACGTCTCCGCCTCATCTTCCCACATCTCCCGGCTCCGCTCATTCGGTCCATCCGCGCTCCTGCTCCCTGTGTCCACTCCACAGTCCAATGTTTTTGTCCAACGTCTGTCGCTCCTCAACAAACAAATGCTCACCAAGGCACGAGTTCAGCAGAATGCAACTCAATATGAATGTATAGTAATAATAAAGAAATAAACAAAAAAAATATCACCATGAAATGATTTATGGCATGTGTATACGGCTTGTTAGAGCTGGGGTTCCTAATTTGTTTTCTTATAAAATCTAACCGTTTTACAGGCATGTTTTGTTTTTTGTCTCTGTCACATTAAAATCTAAATTTTTTAGACAGAAGTGAAAATGAGTGGACAATTCTCGCTCAGCCAATCAGCGTCAAAGTGACTCACAGGGCTGTTACAAGTGTGCAAAAGATAAAACCTTTTCTTTAAAGAAACGTTTTAGTCTGATTTGTTCACGTTTATCAAAAACAACATGGATTATATTATCATTATTTAACCAAACACCTGCCCCAGCATGAACAAGACTTACACATGCCAGGTTTAAGTATTTCAAAAATATGTGATTGCAGTAATGACTTATAGCAACACTGTCAAAACAAGAATTGCAATATTATAATGTTTCCATAACATATAATGTCATTACCCTGCTCTAAATAAGAAAATAATGATATTGCTTCTAAAACAGGTTTTTTTATACATGAAATTGGTCTAAAAAGTTACATGCACCCACAGTATACATAAGTAATCAACACGTTTATTAATGTTTAAACTAAAAGAGGGAAATTCATGAATAAAATAAAGTGGTCCCATTTTTTTCCCGTCATATATGATAATACATATTGCAAAACTCAAGATGTCAGTGAATTGGCTTTTGATGCATGGAAGGAAAAACGGCTACAAACAAAAACTCTGCCATCTCACCCAGAACAAACATCGTCTTGAGCTTTTTTTCTGGCTTTTCAACGCTGAGAGGCGATGAGATGCATTTTAAACTAAAGGCCAGCGCAGAGCCACCAGAGGACTGCAGCCGGGATGTGTAAATGGAACGGACACATTTGCATACAGTTCGTACAGCAGTGGCCCTCTGTGCACAGGGGCGAGATTGTTAAGGTGGGACTTTCAACCCCCTCTTTATGGAAATCATTGTCTTTTTCCCTGGAGTTAAAGCATGATTTCCATTGAACAACATTGTGGTAAATAGTGGACGTCTTGGCCAGTCTGAATACATTTGCAGCCTGGGTGCGCCACAGTGTAAGCTACTATAAATTTGGATTCACTAAATAAGACAGTCTTTTTGTACACTGTAGTAGGGTGTCAAAGCAGACACACTATGCTAAACTTTATCCATCTTTGAGATCCATCTATGCTAATATCAGTAACTTATCACACAAACATGTAACTGTCCCCACTGTTTAAAAGCTCCTGTCTTGAGTCCTGTAGTGATATGATGTAATTCTTCCACAATGACATCACACTTTAAAACAAAAGTATTGCCACTAAATTAGTTTTAGTGTTTTTTCAAGTGAAATTTACAATCACATAGTAGTGGTTGCAGGTGTGATTATCAAATTTGGAAACAAACAAAACAATTCTAAATCTCCCTCTGGTGGTAGCATAGGGATAGGGCAGATTGATAACATTATTTACCCTCCATACTTGTTTCACCATATGTTTTCTACTGAGGATGTTATTTCTCATTCTAAAACATAAAATAACCGAGTAAATAATCTCATAATAATTTTAATGACCAAATATAATGGATAAGACTTTTCTGAATTGTACAGACACGTTTCCCCTCTGCTTACCCATTCTATTGATAGATAAGTGACATGTGACAGCATTTCAACCAGAGTATTTTTCGACCAACTTACCCAGTTATTTTGCCATTGGCCTTTTGACTTGTTCAATATCAATTGTGTTGCAATGTGTAAACGTAGCATTGTCACATGTTCAGAGGAGGTTGTAACTATTGGCTACATTGTATTTAAAATCCCACCTTTGCGTTATTTTCCTTTTAAGTTCCTATATTTGGCTTAAAACAGTTTCAGCATAATAAAAAAAACGTCTCCATGACCTTGTATCCACCTGCACCAAAGTAGTTGGACTAATTGAAAGAGTTTAGTGTTGCATCTGCCACATTGGAGTAACCTTCCGCGCGCCTTTTACTTTAGCTTTAGAGGCACATGCTGCGTTCTCCTGTGGGAATATGGGCAGATTGACAGATTGGTGACACTTACATTAGTATGCAGCATTTCATTGCCGGATTAGACAGTGATGAGCTCAGCAAGCACAGCACAAGAAGAGCACAAGCACCTTGGTTAGGAAGGCTACGCGTCAACATCTAAGTGTATCGAGTCATTGCCCTCGCTCTGTAAAAATGTATTGTCTACATACGCTCTGCAACACTGTCCTTTGGTTGGTGACAAACCTGCTTGTTATCTTCATCTCATACTGCATGAAATACATACACAAAATTATGACATTATTTGTGTCAGTCACACACTGCATGGTGGATGGCTGTCTTTCATGTGAAGCACCATGCTGTTTCGAAGAACTGCTATGGCCTGTCATATATACGCAATTGTCAAAATAAAGCGTATATATTTATAGAGCCATGGTTGCAGGTAAGTTTATTTACAGCCTCAAACTTTATGAACATCACAATTCAGAGGCAGTGATTACAAGGCAGCCGTTATAGACAGTGTGTCAAAATGGCCGAACCCAGACATGATCCCACGGGGGCTCCGACGCTGTGTGCTCTAAACAACATGTTAGCTTTTGGGTTTGATGACTGCAGCTACTGGAGATGTGAATACTAATCTGAGCCATCTGTCTGAAGAGCCGCTCCCCGAGGCATGAACTGAGTCATGGTCAAATAGTGTGTAATGAAGGGAAGCAGTAATGACCTCACCGCCGACTGGAGAAAACTGCAGAACAGCCATTCGTCATGTGGACCTTTTTACTCCGGACACATTGTAGCGCTGTCAAAATATGTCAAAATAACTAATATTGTGCTTGTGAGTTTTGGGGACTATATAATGAAGAGATGAAAAAAATAAAAGACAACATTCACCATTCGCTGTCACAGCCAATTCGTATTCTGCTTATACCATACTCTCAGACAATACCTAGAATACTACAATACCTGGGAAAATTTTTAATTAATGAATGGGAATCCATACCCAATGAAGGTTGGCAAATAGATATGATAAAAATGGTTAAAACATTAGTGTTACATTTTAACTGGAATATCACTGTATTCTGAGAACATAGCAGATATATTCTCAGTGTTTTGCCAAATTATACCAATATCAACAATATGCTGATTTCCCAATATGGCGCCCTGGAGACAGTAATTGCCCACCCCGACTGTAGTCTAGACCCTATTCACCAACAAATACGTATTTTGCACTCTCCTTATTTTTAAACAGCAGACTTTATCAAGATCATCAGACCTCAGTCTTTTCAAGGTTCTATTTTCCTGGTGGAAATTCACATAATTGTCTACAGCATTTTACCGAGGCATGAGGTGCCTTTTCTTTTTTTAGATAACTAATCGACCCGAGCCTGGTCTTTTCCGGGTAGCAGAAATAGGCAAATGTTAGCAGTTTTCCCCCAAACTTGCCAAATCATCTAAATCCTTCTGTCGCCGTCAGCATATTCCCACAAAACTGGCTCTATGTCCAAGTCATTTAATTACGCATGAACCAGTCGACCACTCGTGCAAGTCACCTCACACATGCTGCATTTTCTGTTTGGCCTCGCTCTATTTTTTCCTTGCTTAATGTGGTATTTCCTTATGCAGGAGCACTTCAAATTGAGAACAGCGAGGAGTCGGACCAGGGAAAGTACGAATGCATCGCCATGAACAGCGCCGGGACCCGATACTCTGCTCCTGCCAATCTATACGTGAGAGGTAAAGTAGACACATTTATGTCCATGGTTGCATTCAAAAGAAATTCTTGTACCAAACAGCAGTGTATTCACCAGATACAAGTATTGAAATAGAAATTATGAACAGTTATGAATAGATAGTTCATAACATAACACATTTATATTTATTACGTTCAAGCTATATTCCATCTTGAATGTGATAAATGTCAAAAAAGTTTAAAAACATTGATTTGACTACTTCAAAGCTGGGGTACCTAACGATTTGGTTTCATGAGGAGGAATTGAATAGACGGCAAATGTGAAGTCAGACCACCCCATTACATCTTCAACTTATCAAAACAGGTTGTAATGTACTGTATACACTTGTCCTTTGAGTCCACTATTTATTTTTTGGGCTTAGAGGACCAAAAACAGAAAACTAGCGATAGTTGTAGAGCCTTGATCGTTGGATTGGATCACATAGTTCCATTGTGCGTAGTTTGAAAATTGGGTTCCCTGGCTTTGAATTATAATGCAGTCGAGAAAATAATGTGGTCAAATTGTGTATCTCCCCTTACGTTGTTTACATTATTAAAAAGAACAGCAATGTATAAATTGAAAAAGTGCTCTGACCCTGATTTCTGTGTCCTCCTTCTGTGTGTTGTCTTTGTACATAGTCCCTAACACTGACTAATGTAAGTTGTTGTGAAATGATGGCTGGTGATCACTGGGGCTGTATGGGTGTGCACTGATTGTTCTTGATTGACGTCTTGTTCCATTAACCGCTCTATGACCTTACGCTAATACATCTCCGCACACTCCGCCTTTGTTGCTCCACCTTACTGCGTATCAACGGGATGAGCGTGAATAGGTATTGTGTGATTTTCAAATGTCCTCACCCATTTCACTGTTTTTTTCCTTTTGTCTGTCCGCTAACCAATTCTTCCACCCATTAGCTGAACCGTGGCTGCCATCCAACAGTGATGACTAACCATAGCGTCCCGTTTGGAAGCAAAATTCGAGCAGGTGTGGTCTGAAACAGCTGCATCAGAAACCATTTCCTCTGCGTGTATGAAAATCCATCTTTATTATTTCTTTTTTCGTATTCAGCTGTATCAAAAGCTCCATTATCCTCTGGCGAAACTTGCTGAAAGGCATAGAAGACTTTAGGGATTTGTTTTGTTGTCTCCGTGTGCAGACTAATGCAGGCCAAGGGCAGTGTAGCACCCATTCCGGATCAGGCTGGGTCAGAGCTGCAGAAAATCCACTGTGTCCCACAATATGAGTGGGGAAGCTAGAAGAGGTGTCAAAAAACGAAATGGCTTTAGTTTTTGAAAGCTTCTATATAGCTTTTGCATTATTTTTTTTTCTATATTACCAACAATAACTGGATTTGATCCAGGTCTCAATTTTATAATCTCAAAGTAGAAATGGTACATAGTTTCAGTATTATCACATATAATATTTGGCACCTAATTTTATAGGGTGCCAAATCTCCTAAAAATAATAAATGTTTCTTGTCTACCAAAATGCTTTTTATAAACAGCTTATTTTTGTCTAGTTCCAGAAAAAAAACATTTTATTCTTTTTATAAGAGGCACATCCACAATAGATCCAGTTTACAGATTAAACATTGACGTCTCTATGCGGTTCAGACCAAACTCAAATTAATGATTACCAAAGTAGTAAATAAGAACCATGAGAGGCCCGGAGATAGTAGAAATTGAATAGACCAGTTTCAGGAAATTGAATATATCTGAAAAAAATGCAATTAGGCTAGTCCTCGCTCAATATGTTTTATATTATTTAGAGCCATTTTGTTCCTTTCAAACATAAATTGGCTTTATGCTGTTAAAGTTAGTTGCCTTTAGAATAATAAGCTCCAGCCGACACAGTGTTATCAGGTTTAATATATATATATATGTAATTTACAGTTCATAAGATTTAAAAACAGAGCAACATGTCGGTGTGCTACAAGAGTGTTGTGGCTGAATTTTCCGAAAGATGCCAGAGTTGTTTCTATGGTTACAGTTTGTATGCCTTAATGAAGTCGTTAGCTCACCGTGTGGTCTCCAACATAGTAATACGTTACATATAAAAGATGATGAGACCTTTGCGATTATGTTGTTCTGTTAATAGTTTAGTAAAGACATATGGGACCCACCGCATGGTTTAAAGCTCATATTTTGTGAGATTGCATTTCAGCTACAGTACAGCAAAAGGAGCAGAGTCTCATCTATTAATCAGCGGCTGTCTGTCACAGGTACAGACAGCCTTTCCCCTTGCAGGTAATTACAGTGGTGTGTGGCGTCGCGCCAGCAGGGCCCCTCAGGCCCAGCCACTGTGTAACACCACCCAGGTAGCTGTCAGCCCACTGGCCCCTGCACCAGCTCCACCAGACCACCAGACCGCTCCACAGATAGAAATCAAGCCAAGCATAACCTTTTAAAAGTCTGCTTGACTGCTACTGAGAACAAAAGGCCCCAGCCATGTTTTTAGTCTATCGCTGTTCTGGCTGCAACAACGAGGTGCAGAGACCTGGGGCTGTGCTATCACCGGCTGCTTGATTGGGTTTTAAACATGGGACTCAACTCAAGTGGCCTCTGACACGCCTGCCTATTTTTCTCCTTCAGTTATGTGTTTTTGATACTCCTGAGAGCAGATAAGGTGCTTAAAAGATCGGCTGCTGAATCCCTCTACAAACAAAACTCGAGATTACAATTTTGATTTATTTCCCCAAAAAGGTAAAACATGTATTATTTATTATATTTTTTTTAAGGAATACGAAACCAATCAAGATTTTTTCCCTAAAATAAATAAATCTTTTCTATTATGTGTTGAGTTTTTGTCAGCGCTGTCCAAAAGCAGCCATCCTCTAAATGCCGCCGCACAATAGTCAAGGTGACACATAGGGGAGATTTCATAAGTGCCTTGTTTTGTGCCCCTACTCTTGTCAGACCACCATTCTCTGTGCTTGTTATGTGCAGAGCCTTGTTTGTTTTTTCACTTACACCGTTGCCACCTGATCCAATTCCTGTCTGCTGCTTCACAAATATGCTGCCGGCGCACAGTCACCACCTTTGTCTTGACATTTTCACGTCCTATTCCTGCCTATAGCTGTAGGTAAATGGGCGGGTCGGCGGTGTTCGTGGGTGTCGAAACTCCCACACTCTTTGCGGATTGCTTTGCTTTTCACCTTTCTGTCTGGATATCCTATTTATGCAACCTCCCCTCTTCCCATTCATTAAAAGCCCCCATGCGCCCGCGTTTCGGAGGTGCGCAGGTGGCTCGGCTGGTATACCTGTTTGCCGGGGGTCACTTTGCTCGCCCCAGCACCGGAGGGAGGGCCGCATCAGACGTGGGCAGAATGGTGGAGCGTTGCGTCTTTGTGTGATCGTGCAGCGGAGCTCGTTTGTCAAGCTCTTATCCCCCCATTTCGGTGGAGAGATGTCAGCTCTCGACACTGCCACTCCTTCATATTTCCCACTGACACGTCAATACATCATCCTGGGATACGCACGCCACACAGGGGCTTTGCTGTTATCCAAATATCTCCATGCTGTTCTTTGTATGTCTATGTCTATGTGAGTGTCAAGAGGGGAAACCTTTCATTCGTGGGGCTAGGTCGTATCAAGAAGTTACACAACCAATAAAGTTATGAGAGAAGTTGTATTCATTTATTTTAGCTGAACTAGTTACATACATACTGATTGGATACAATGAATACATGTGTTAAATCATTTCCCTATATCCCCATGTTTAGCTAAGTAACTGTTAGGTTGGTATCGTAGTTTGTATAGTGCCTCATGTATCTACTATCTCAAATGTACTAGCTCTTACTATTTTAGTAGTAAAAGCTAAGTAAAGTAAAGTGCTTGCCTACTTTTGTTTAGTTCATGTAATAATATTGCTAGTTTACACTACTTTTGTAACTGCACAGATTTACAAAAGGCAGCATTTGACTTCAATTGGGAGAGTTTATGAAAACAATATTTGAGCTCTTTTTTTGATTCTAGCTTTACAAATACAAATGAGAGACATTTTCCCCTCTTGACACACAACACCAATGCATCTGTTTGCCTCATTTCACTAACCTCCTGTATCTATGTAAACACTGTCATATTTCACTGTCCTCTTCCTTATCCATCGCTCACCACCATCAAAATCACTCCATCCACAAACAGATCAACGTGAAGGTTTGTCGATTTCACTTTTAACCTCTTCCCTTCCCAAAAAAGTTAATACCATTTTTAGGCCATTGAATATGCTTCCTCAGTTCTTTTTGAGTGACTCCCAGAAACCCTCTCCCTCGAAACCTGTGATAGCATCGAACCCTTGATGCCAACTTTCCCTTATAGTGGTCAGTCTGTCCTTTTGCATCAGCGCATGAATCCTTTTGTAGTAAGTGCATGCCTTCCACTGCCACTCCCTACGTGTTTGAACTAGTCCAATGCAGAAATTAACTTGGATTGGAAATGTTATGTATAGACATTTATTTGTTGAATTCTATCCTACTACACCTTCCGACATAAACATCCAAATACAAAAGCCATATTTTCATTCATGTAAGTAGCTGCTAAAAATCTTACATAAGCATTGCATGTTGCGTTTAAGTTCAGTGTCAACACTTCTGAGGTCAGAAAGGTAGAAGTTAATCTAAAGCCAAATCATATCTTTCACATCATCTGTACTCAAGTATCTGTAGATTTAGGCTTTATATCAACAGTGTCTTGATTTTCTTATTTAAATCCTCCCATAAATAAATACACAGTAAAAGATAAGATAATATGATATAATTATTATACCATCTTACTATTACTAAATTAATATGTTTGGTTGGCTTGTCTAGCTATTTTTGCAAGACCTGTCCAACTTCTTACTGCAGGACACTAGTGTCAGCAGAGGTAAAGTTGTCTCTAGGCATTAGATCTGTATTGCCCATACAAAAACTGGTTTGATAGGCACCTGTTTATCATACTTTATTTTCCCAAGCTTTTGGGAGCTCTCACAAGGCTTCTGCATGTGTTTTCACCACGTGCCTTAACAGTGAACATTTCACATGTGGTTCAATCTCACAGCTGATCACACTTTGACGGACAGCACATTCTCAAGTCCCAAAGTACTGCACATGCAGTATGTGCAAACAAAAGTAGGTTAGGGTTAGGTATGTGCATTTGTTTGTACATGATGGTGTTGGTGGGCACCTCTTTCTCTCATGGGGTCCACTGACGTTGATCTCGGCTCACTAGTTACTGGAAAAGTAGATCTTGATGGGATAAAGTAGGAGCTCCCCTGAGTGCCTTCCTCATTAACATAATAAGTTTTTGAGATGACACATTTCTCATAAGAAACTTATTTTACATCTATAACAATAGGATTCTCCATGTCCTGTAGTTTCTCCACTTGGAGAAATGCCTGAGCCAACCCTGTTTTTATAAATGTATACCCAATGCCGAGTCGAGCCAAGATGTTGTGAATTATTTCCTCAGTAGCTGTACAATATTGTAAAGAGCTGACCTACAGAATATTTAAGAATGGGCTGGCAGTGTGCTGACAGAGGGCATGATCAGACATCATGGTTGCTCTGTGTCGCTGCCAGGAACCCCAGGAGCCTGCTGACTAGGTGCCCGTTTGCTCCCATATTGACGAACTGAACAGTTTCTGCTATCCTTGGGCACTTCACAGGGCAGTTAGATTTATAGATATCCAGCGGCGGGGCAGGCAGGGTGGAGACAAAGCTTATTTTGTGGTTTTGATAGAGTCCTCGTGCCGTCTCTTCAAGCTGCTTTCAACACGAGTGAGGCTTCGGGTAGAATCAATAACAATTACCTACCCTCTAGTCATTTTGTTCCACAGCACCTCTCCAAACTTAACCGCACGCCATGAATTATTCACAACATTAAGTGTTCAATATACACAGACCCCATTGACTGACTGCTCTTAGCACTGCTGTGTTGTCTATGGAGTCATGAAAGAATAGCAGACACTTTGAAACTAATGGTTTTGCATTAGTCCGTCTCTTCGCTCAGCATTACAGCGCTGGAGTGAACAGATTTCAAAATTGTAGTTTTCACTTTCTGGCGAGAAATAAAGATTCTTCAAAAACAACAACAAATTAGAAAATTGCATCTGAACTACAACCTAAACAATCATTGCCATGTGAGTGTGAAGCCCCAAATGCAGGTGGCCACTGACAAATGAGATCTATGTTCCACAGATTTTCTCTTTGGGAATAAGATGTACTGCCATTTAAAAAAGAAAATTGGTCCAAGTTCCTTCTTTATCAGGTTTCCCCAGTGTACAAGCTTATGATCCTCCCTATATCTGTATCTGCTCTGCTTGAGAATGTTCCCTCCTCCGTGTTCCCAGCCTGGTATTTCACTCCTGAAGAAGTAATACAAATCCTGCATAATCAGTATTATCTGTAATATTTGTCTCCTACATTCATACATTACGACTACATGTCATATTATTTTATTTTTCCCATAGTCTGGGCAACCGTAATTCACCAGAAGCTGATGAAAAATTGGCAAACGTTGCTTACAATGGTGCCCGGTGCCTGGTTTGACCTGTTTCGACCCGTCCTAATGTAGGTTTCTCTGTAGCTAGTTATTCTTAAGTTTTACAACATTTCACAATCAATGCTCCAATCAATTATAGCCAGAGAAAAGTGAAGCGACGAAGGCATAATAAACTGCCACTGGTCATTTACTTCTTGCTCCGTTTACTTTTGTCAAAATGTTCAGCCCTGTTCGATTTCCTGCCTTTACTTGCTCTGATGTGTCTGGGGAAATTACTTGCAACAAGAAAAGCTTTAAAAAATGCATGAATCAAAGGTTTCTGCTGTTAATACTTTTATGATATTGAGCCGAGAAGTTTAAACCTCTGTGATTGTATTGATCTACAAAGTGCTCTCAATTATTTTGGTATAAATTTAGGGTTAGAAAATGAACATTGCTTGGGATTTTTACCCCTCTTTGCATTTGCCCGCTGAACCAGCCTTTTTCCTGACTGGAATCTGAAAAGGTGCTTTTGTGTTTTTTCCATTTCACCACATAATGAGAGGAATAACAAGCGTGACTGTAACGACGTTCCGGTTCATATTAGATCTGGTTGGGAGGGAAAGAGGGGGACAGCGATGGAGGAGCGACGCACATTTGAAAATCCATTTACACACGGACCAGTGCAAAAGTCCAATTACAGTCAAGGGGGTTCTCTTGTATAGGAGACACAGCGCTGCGCATTAGGGAGATAGAAGCTGGGACACTTACCTCACGGACTGTTTTGAATCCATGCACCTCCAGCAGGAGTAAGATGGCTATAATTGGAGCACACAAACAAGAGTAATGCAGGCTTCTTTAGTGGAGGACGAAATAACAAAAAAGAAACTGCACACAGTAGGAGGATGAGAGAAAGTAGTTTATTAAGAGTAGAAGTAGCTGGTGTGTAGTAATTTGTTGTTGTTAGCGGTATATTTCAGTATTAGTAGTTCGTGTTAGTATATATTTTGATGTAGCAAGAGGTTATACTTTTTGTGTTAGGATTATTTTATAAAGTATATTTCAATCAATTCTAGGTCTAATACAGTATATTGTTTATAGATAGTACATAGGTTTGTTTTGTGGAGAACTATTGATAACATATGCAATACTAAGTTCTAGTGTAGAGAGGAATTATTACGGTTAAATATTTAAGTTTAAATCCCTAAACTAGTGTATAGCAAGTTGTGTATCTATTATATTACTAGTTTCTTTCTGTTTATATTAATTTTTTATCGAAGAGGTCAAACATGTTAGAGCGTCATTTACATGCTAATTACTTCGGAGTTGGGGCCAAAAATGTCAACTGCTGCCATTTTCTATATCTTCATTAAGACTGAAGCACAGTGAAATTCAAATTCTGTTTACTTTGGGCCCTGGGTTTTGCTGTTTGTCTTGTCCCTGGCGACGTCAACGGCCCCTTCTGCTCGCCATGGGAACTCCTTTTTAATGTCAGCCTATCTGCATAAATCACAACCTCGCCAGCGCACAAAAAGAGGAAAGAAAACGAGAACGGGAGAGAAGACTGTGTCAGAAAAGAGAAAGGGAAAGACGCTAGTGAGAAGAAAGCCAACAATGGCCATCACCACAGGGTCCCTCCATGACGCAAGTCCCTCCGTTCGTTTGAGACTCGGACAAAAGAGAGACAGAGACAGTCTCCACTAAAACCAGGCTACTTTTTAATGCGTTTTACCATTGTTGGCTCAAGGCTAGATTCTCCCTTTAACACTGTGCATTTGAATCCCTCGAGCTATTCTCTTGACAGGGCTATTATCTCCATTGTGCAGAACTGTAACTTTCAGACAGCATGTATTTACCTTTTTTTTAACCATATGTTCTTGTATTACACATTTTAGCACTATCGGGAACGTACTTTGGACATGAAGATTTTACTATAAAATGACTGACAGTTGTCTTGACTACTTTACAACATTGTTGACTTTAATTCACTGAAATCAGTCATTGGGTAAAGGGACTATTAAACTCACCAATTTTGTAATTTTTATTTCACATTTCTTTAATTCTGTTTCAACCTTGATATGTTTTACTAAATGAATAATCTTCTATTTCTTCAACCTATTTGTTCTGATTTAATTTTGACATTTTATTTACTCTTTTTGATTTCTGCACGCTAACACTATTGCATCTCGCTCTCCCCAGTTCGCAGAGTGGCCCCCAGGTTCTCCATCCCTCCCACGAACCAGGAGGTGATGCCGGGCGGGAGCGTGAACCTCACCTGCGTGGCCGTGGGGTCGCCCATGCCCTACGTAAAGTGGACCAAAGGCACCCAGGACCTGACCGAGGAGGAGAACATGCCGCTGGGGCGGAACGTGCTGGAGGTGACCAACATAAGAGAGTCGGCCAACTACACCTGTGTGGCCATGTCCTCACTGGGCATCATCGAGGCAACTGCTCAGGTCACAGTCAAAGGTGAGGGGAGTTTAGTATCATGCTTCGTAGACATTTAGTTAAATCGTTCTTCCATGTTTGCAACCTTGCTTATGAACAATTTTACTATGTAATATAATCCATTTTACCAAATGTCTTGATTCATAAAGGTTAATTTTGTCTTGAGTATAAAAAGAAAGTGGTTCTTTTGAAATGCATCTAATTAAACTTCTAACTTGTCTTTCAAAAGTACTACAATAAACGTGCATAGATTGTTTTGAGGTCTTTCACTCAGACAGAGATGTGAAAAATAGTGACTCACAATACTACGTTGTATTATAATTGTATATTTGTTATTTGTGTAAATTTGAAGTTTTCTGTTATTTTAGTCATTATGTTTAAGGCTATACCTCTTCTCACACATGTTACAGTATAATTGAATATTTTCTGGCACTAAATTCTGGACAAAATCTGGATGTACCATGTATGTAAAACAAGACCAAACTAGGACTAAACTGCAGCCTTAATCTGCACGTGTGTAGGATTTGCTGGGATCTTATACTTTCCATCCATAACATCATTCACTTTGTCATATGTCACTGTCCACCCATCTAGTCTCACATCCACCTACAGGTTTTTCACTTCTACAACAGTAAATTCCATCTCTCATGCTGATCTCTCCATTTACGTGACTACTCCCAGCCCTTTTGAGAAACTCCCTGGTATTTCCTTAATCTTAATCCCTCTTTTGGTTCACCCTAGTAGCCCCATTGTACTTTTTGCATGCCTTCCACCGCCACTCCCCACCTGTTTGAATCAGTCTTGCCAAAACAACTTAAGTTTCACTGTGAAGTTTCCTTGTCATTATATTATTAGTGTTTTGTTACCCATTTTTGCATTTTGAAAAGCCACACCCTTGTTTTGAACTTCATCCACCTGTTTCTAGCGTGTATTTGAATAGATTGTGCAGCAATCCGGTATTATAGTACAGTTTTTTAGCTTTAATTTAGATTTTGAAAAGATAAATTCATGCACATGCCGCTCAACAGTTGATCATGCTTTTGTAATCATAAAATAATTGGCATTGTCATTCTTAACCTTTTGGATATTAACATCTTGCCACTACACAAATACTATAATTATAGATAAGGATTAATACGAACAGATTATCCAGGGAACGATTGTTTTTCTATATTATTGTGAGATAACAATGAAAGACAAATTCGTGTCAATTTATGATATTGATTATGATTGGCAAAACCTATTGTATATTCATGGATTTTGACAAGCTTACTCAAATAGAATGATATTGATGCCACGCTGAAAAAGTCTCTTTCTTCTATTTAATCATTGAGAAAAAAATTGACAACACATATCGTCTGAAACTGTTGCTCACATGTTTAATGGATTGTTCTTTTGAATGTGTGCATAATTTATGAAACTAGTAGACTCTTATAGACAAGTGTTGAAAATTAGCTTGATCTTGCTATAACACAAAAGGTAGTGCATCTGGTCTAATGTAACTGTTGTGTCCATATCAAATAAATAAATGAATGAATAATCCACAGTTATCACTCAACAATAACAATTAGAACAGTGCTACCTGTGGATATTGTAAGATTTGAGCTTGCATGTTATTAGAAACATAATTAATGCTAGATTTTCAATGCGATCATGTAATCTTCAGGCGGTGGACACTAATTTTCTGCGCCAGCATGCCCTCACATGTCGCGCCTTCTGGCGTTGTCGACCTATTGCTTCTAATCTGCTGCTGGATGTATCGATCTCAGGCTCCTCTCGTCGGCGTTCCGAATGTCAGAGCTATTTAGAGGCACCGGCTGCAGCTTTGCACAAGTGGAGCCATAATGAAGACGCTCTCCTCAGCTTTTGTTTGCTTTTCTCATTCACTCACAACAGGAATCGTTGGAGCAATTTGTGAGCGTTTCACAGCGCGGTGGCTTGTCCAGTCGTACAAAGCAAAGCATGTGAGGCTTTTGCAGATTTAGCTGTTTGCTGAGAAAGATTTTTTGAAAATGGGTTTTACACAGCCATCTTGAGTTAAAGATATATAAGAGGATTTCAACTTCCGGGTGGATCATCAAGACTATTGGTTCTCTCAGTTATTCTGGCCATACATGTTCGTCAAAATAAACCAGAGAGTTCTGTTGAAAAAGTGGAGAGGGGGGTTCTTTCCTAAATATTGGGGAAATCCTCCTATATACCTTTAAGAAAATAATACAACACGTTGATCAGTAATTGCATCCATTCTACACTGATGCTGTTGATAAAGACATTCAAAGTGAAATATAGAATATCAAATTCTATTTTAGTAATTTATTAGTAACTGCTTTTCATACACACGTCAACAAGTTAATTTGTTGAACGTTGTTATTTTAACATAGGAAGTCATGTGTTAAATTTACTTCAGTTTTATCTGGGTGAAACTGAGATAAAATATTGTACCTGCACTCGAATATCAAAATAATCATTAGTTACTTTAGCCAGAGCCTTTAATTTCCTGTTACTGTGGTTGTTTGGTGTCAATGTTTTGTATTTTGTTTATTTATCTTGTTTACTTCTGGTATTCAAATTTACCATCAGGGTTATATTAAAGTAATACTTTTTTTCTTCTGCTTTAGCCTTGCCAAAGCCTCCTGCCTCCCTCACCGTTACCGAGACCACTGCCACCAGTGTGACTTTGACCTGGGACTCTGGAAACCCGGAGCCCGTGTCCTACTACATGATCCAGTACAAGGCCAAGTCCTCCGACAACGGCTTCCAGGAGGTGGAGGGTGTGGCCACCACCCGCTACAGCATCGGCGGCCTCAGTCCTTACTCCGAGTACGAGTTCAGAGTGATGGCGGTTAACAACATCGGCCGCGGACCCCCCAGCGACCCTGTGGAGACCCGTACAGGAGAGCAGGCGCCCTCTTCCCCCCCTCAGCACGTACAGGCCCGCATGCTGAGCGCCAGTACTATGCTGGTTCAATGGCAGCCGCCAGAGGAGCCCAACGGACAAATACGAGGCCACAGAGTTTACTACAGCTCAGATCCCACTGCTCCTCTCAGCGCGTGGCAAAAGCATAACACCGATGCCAGCAGGCTCACCACCATTTCGGGACTGATTCCTGACATCACCTACAGCCTGAGGGTCCTTGGATTCACGTCAGTGGGAGACGGACCGCCCTCCGACATCCTGCAAGTGAAGACCCAGCAGGGAGGTGAGCCAGCCGCATCAATCTGGGTCTTGGTGTGCTCCGCCAAAGTCTGTGCTTGGCTTTCAGGTTAAAGTTGTAGGCTTAAAAAAGTTGCAAAACAAAACTCGTTCTCTTTAAACTGTTTGCAGATTTTCAAACTTTTTCTTTAACATTCACTCCTTAAAGAAAGCAATTTTTTCTTTTTTGGATTTACTAATATGTTTTTACATTTTCTTTTTGATTGTTTTTTGTTTTTATCAAATCAACCTTTACCAAATGGTTGAGGAAACCACTAAAGGGCAGCATTCTGTTATTGATTTCAGTAGACTTCTATTTCTTATAACATTTCAAGGCTCCACCATTTGGTCTGTTTCACATCTGAAGTGCTTAAATTGCTTAAAAGGGTCATTTTCTGCATTACAAGCAGCCTTACTCAGTGTAGAGAGGCGTCTCACAGCTTTAAATGAGTCGAGTTCTTTTGTCACTAATGTCAACAGTGGCGTGACAAGTTCCCCAGCATTGCGTATCACACAGAAATCTCACTTTAACCCCCAGCTGCTTAAACAATGATTGTCTGGGAAATACATTTGGACATTTCTTAAAAAAAGCATTTCCCATCAAGTTTATTTTGGCACCAGCCCTCCAACTGATAAATAATTTGAGAACATGAGCAGAATCTACTGAGTTTACCAAGCTTTTGTCACACGAGTGGCAGAACACTATCACAAGTTAGTATGAATGCTACTGTGCTGTCCAGTCAGAAGCGTGTACTATACTCACTGGTGCGGATTACAACTAGAGTCTTGTCTCATATCAAAACTTTGGGTACAGTACAGTAATGTGGATAAAAAATACAATTGTAAATAAAGTTTATTTAGAAGAGAAAAACATACAGTATGGCACCTTGAAGCTAACACTGGATTTGTATGTGTTGAATCTGTATGTTTATGTGGGGAGAGCAAAATCCTAAATGTATTTAGTATAGATAAATGCAGTCATATCTTCATAATATTCATATTTTATAACAATAAGGAAATACATATCTTTTCATTTACTGAATTTAAGCCGAGTCATGATCTGGTTTCATCTTGCTGATAATACTATTCATTTCAAAGGCACTTTTGGGGTCTGTTAAAATCTCCATAACCAATATTACTTTGTCCTGCTCTGTTCCGGACACTGACCTTTTGCTAAATTATTTTCACTTTAACATCCTTAAACTTTCCCTGGGGACATTTCCTGCAAAGCCATGGATAATTTATATTAGTTACATAACCGTCATTGCCCCATTCAAGTTTGGCTTTATGTTAAGATAAAACTTGCCATTAGTAAGTGCTTGAACACACATTGTAAAGATTACGGTTATTACGGCGGACAGCCTTGCAACTATTCATTGTAAGTAATGTGCTCTCTTTGACCTTTTTGTTTTTGTGGTCCCAGTCCCTGCTCAGCCGTCCAGTTTCGAAGCCGAGGCGGAACAAGACGATCGCATCATGCTCACATGGCTTTGGCCCGTGCAAGACCCCATCAGCAAGTACGAGCTCCAGTACGGCGAGGTCGGCTCCGACGTCTGGGTAAAACACCTCTTTATACACCTTCATGATACAGTGATAACAAATACTATGGATACATGCATAATGATTGATACTTTGATGCATTATTACATTTTTATTTTATTTTTATTTAACCTGATTAACCTAAACAGGAAAGTCTCATTGAGATTTAGAACCTACTTTTCAAGGGGCATCATTAGATCATTTCTGAAAAAGAGACCATTTCTCAGTGTGTAAAAGATAACTACACATCTCCAAAAAAATATAAACTGGTGTGGTCTGATTTGTTCACAATCACATAAACAAGACTCCTTCTCTTGAAACAAAACAAAATAGCATTTGGTACTAGCTGTTATTCAGGGACATTGCACAATGATTGTGTTGTACAGACTGGACATAGCTACAGTCCCTGCACATAGGCAAAGTGACAGCAGGTTAACAGTGTGCAACAGAATAAATAGATTAACTTTGTTGGCATTTAAAATACAAGTAAAATGTAGCACCCTTAACCACAAAGACAAACAATGTCTACATAATACACAACTCACAGTTATTTACAATCTGCGTAATGCCTGTGCACTTGCATTATCTTTGAGCCATGACTTTAGGCTGAATTTAAACTGTCCCATGGAGCTCCACTCTTGCACAGACAGAGGTAAGGAGTTCCAGACCCCTGCTGCTTTGACAGAGAAGCAGTTCTGTCCAAATGAGGAGGACCTAAAGTTCATATAACAGCCTCCTCTAGATGTGGCTTTAATGAATTGGAAAGAAAAACCATGGTTGGGTTAGGGTGTTCCTAAAACACAACAAATCCCAACTCTATCCCAACTTTAGATTATTGAATAACTTTCAGCACAGAACATGCTATTCTGGATGGTGATTAGAAAAGGACAGTCATTTCATCAAATTGAAGCTTAATTTTAATTGAATAATAAAATGCACGTTGGTTTTTCACTTTTTGCAACAGCACAAATTTGACCCAATATTTGGTGCATTCTCCCGTGGCCTGGTTTTGTGCTTTTTGTCTGTCTTCCTCCGCTCAATGGCACGCTTTCAAACTGGAATAAATTTAGCTTTTTGTGATGCAACAGCGGCATGGTTACAGTAATGCATTGAGCTCTCGGGCCGATGCCAAACACGTACAGTAGACATTTGACAGGTCTGTTTTTTCTCCTCGTCGGATGGCACCTTATTAAATCCAGCCAGACCACCACTTGCAAGCCCCAATATGTCAGATAGGAATGGTAAACTTGCAGCGCAGGGATTACATCATGCATCAGAAGTAGCATTTATTTATTTTTCTCTTGTTGTGAAGGTATTTTTGGGTACTTTGGAATCTATGTTCTTGAATGATGTCTTTGATTCATGGGAACAATTCTTGGGTCCAGGTGGAGTTTTCCCATCATCCCTGTTTCAGAAAAGTTTACCTTTGGTTTCTAGAATGTTCTTTTATACTTTTTAAAGTGTTGTTGACCTTTCGTGACAATGCTTATGTGTTTAATAATGTTGGCATGCCTGAGTAGTCTTTGTAATCTTTGGTTTAAGCTTGGGAATTGTTATAATATGAACTGCCAATAATCTCCTCTTCCTGCATTCCTCAATTTTCCTTTGGTAGAAAGCCCTTTGTTGTTGTTTTGGCTGGATATATACAGTTGGTCAGCTGTATAAAAACGTTCCTTTTACTGTACATTCAAAACAAGGGTTTGACTTCACATAGTTAGATAAATAGATATGGACTAGATTTCACAATGAGAAATGTACATGTCACATTGGCATTAATTAATCTCTTCTGCGATAGAGAAGATATATTATGTACAATAATATATACATGGTATATCTGTATAGCAAGCAAAACAATAACATCTATTGCAAGAGGGAGATATTGAACCACCTCACAAAGAGTAGGTCACCACTAGGACGATTGAGGAATGCCCCTTGTAAGGCGTTGAGAGAGAAAAAAAAGATAAAATGTCAGATTCAGTTAATTTGCCATTTTCTGTAAAATCACATTGGAATACATTTGCAAAAGTCCCCAGTGTGCACCAGACAAGTATATAGATAAACACGTACAGGAATAATAATGAATAATTTCTGACAATTCTTGCTTCAATCTTTCTAGATCCAGAAAGTTATCGAGCCCGCTGGTTCTCATGTGGTGGACGGGCTCAAGCCGGACACGCTGTACCGCTTCATGCTGGCAGCTCGCTCTGAAGTGGGCCTTGGCGTCTACACGCAGCCCGTGGAAGCCCGCACCGCTCAGTCCAGTAAGTCCCCATACACACTCCCTTTAACTCGGCCTTTTCTCTCCTGCGCTCACTAACCCAACGGTGGATCACACCACAACCCTCGGTCGACACAGGGCCGGAAAATGTTGAGGTCACCGCCTGTAGTTGCAAAGATCTTTATTAGCGTGGGCCGTTTTGAATGTCAAGTCGATACAAAGTGCTGACAGAGCAACCATGCCTTCCCCCTTCTTCCCCGTCACCAACACTAACTCCCCCCACCTGCGTGTCCAGGGGCAGGGCGAGCCAAAGGTACGTTTAATGTGTCCCTCTTCCCACATTTGTCAAGTGTGCCGTGTTATTTCGCCTTATATCATTATGTGCTTTTACAGTGCCACCACTAAAAATGTCATTCTCTGCCATCGGACTACTGACTTTTTGCAGCTGCTGTTAAACTGTGCTCATTCAGACTCTCCTCCAGGGGCCTGGACTATACTGTAAATATATGGCCTGCTTTAGACTTGCCAAATAAGGACAATATAGCTAAAAAAAATATGTTTTTGTAATGCATAAAGAATATTGTGTTACCCAGGTTGTAGAGAGATTATCCTTTGGTATTTTAAGGATATTCTTGATCCAAACAGTGAGCTTTGATCAGTTTAAGACAATTTAAGATGCTGTAGCAGACTCGTAATGTAGTGCAGTTTGTCTTGTCCAAGTAGAAGCGGCTCAAAAGGTCAGTTAGAGATTGCTGTGTGCAATGCCCATCTAATTAAAAAGCAGTTTTTGTGCCCACCAAGAAATAAGACTTTCTTGTTGTCCTTAGTATTGCTGTTCTGGGGTCTTGTACAGTAAATTGTGACAACCATGAAAAGACTTGACAGTACAGAAATAAACAAGAACAGAACCAAATAAAGCCTGAATGAGGATTAAACAACTATGTACTTGTTGTGCATAGTTGCATTAATTCTATTTTTCTTACTAATTTGACATTTTCAGTACCAATTTCTACAATTTTGTTTGTTATGATATTATAAGAAATGAGGCCATGGACACCCTTATTATTCGATTGTGCATTCAAAACAATGATACGATTGCACAATATGCACAATATACCCCTATTGGACTTTACTATTTGGATTTTAAACATGTTACCAGTGCCAATAGTATTATTCATTACACATATACACTCCCATTTATTGCTTCACTATGACAAGGTTAGCGTGACTGCATCATTACCAAAGTGTAGATCTCTTCTTTTGGTAAATCTGGTCCTATTAGGAGCTTCATATGAGCTGCTTCTCTCCCCCTGTCAAGCTCAGACTTGTATAACTGTCACTTTGACAGCTGAGGACTGTGGGGCTGTTCTGTTTGTAATGGACACAAGGACAATTTCTCCAGGCTCCTGGTGCTGAGATGGTGATTATCAGCTGCATGGCTGCAGGCGATGGCAGAGATGATTTGTGTCGCAGTCATTTACATGTCTAGCTTTTGTCATTTGGTTTTGGTTTGCTTCTTTTTGAGCACATGGAGCAATAAACAGCCTTTAACCTAATTACGCTTAAGAGGTTTACTAATGCTTGTTTTAAACCACTTGAGAGTCCCACGCTGAAGTTAAAATTACCACACAGATAATTTTGACTTTTTGTTTTTATGTTCAACTTATAAATAGTTTTATTATGGCGAGAGAGAGAAAAACAAGAGACATAAGCTAGTTTCAAGTAGGTCAACTATACCTTCAGCCAAAAAGTTATGATTAGGAACCAACAAGATAACCAGCACCAAGGGCCAAACCGCACCCCTTATAGACCCCCTGCTCTACTGGCTGGGCAAACCTGTGGCATGTACCCCACAATATCTGTAATCCTTCTCCCTCTTAGGTGCATTTAGTTCTGTGTTTCCCGTCACAACTATTACTTTTGATAGACACAAATTCAAATGAGACTCTGACAAAACAAAACATTGCAGTGTTGCCTAAATGACTGCGGAACGAACGTCGCACCAGCAGTAGCATTATATATGTATTTTATTTTTATTTTTTTTTCAAATGATGAAAACAATATATGCACTCTCTGATAAACAAGAACTTTTACACTACTTTGTCAAACTTTAAAATACGTCTTATATTGTTTTGCTGGAGCCTGATCCCAATTTAAATGCATGCATCAGTGCTGGAGCCGTGAATCACCGCCGAGGTCTTCTCTGAGTCACAGCACACTTTTAATAGACACTTTTCTTTGGATAACCTTTCATATTTTGAACTTGGACGTGCCGTACTGGCCTCGGTACATGGAGATTTTCTTTGTGCGGGCTGCTCATTGCTCTTGTTATTAAATGAGACATTTCCCAGGCATGCCTTGTAGGAACAACGTGGTTTTGAATGTATTTTTGTGTCGTTCGGATTTTCAATTTTGCAAGGTCCTTTTTTTTTTCTCCTCCCTCTCTTTTCTAAGTTGAAGTACGTTTTTGTGTCTGTGCATGAGTAGTTAGAACGCTACTGTGTTATACGTGTTCTAAATGTGTTTTAGTTATTATTTAGTTGATGTTTCACTCCTGGCCTTGAGAGTTGCTGCTGCTGTTGCCTTATTCACAATAACATCCATTTCAACTCATTCCAGCCGTAGCATTAGAAACTCACACAAACATAAACTTGTATTTGTAATTCTAGGCCTGTCAAAGTTATATCCCAAGTTAAATGATAAAGCAGAACCTTTAAGAGATTTTAAAGCATAACTGGTGTTGTTTATATTGTACAAATAAAGTTGAAGTACAACTTCTAGTCACTGATCAGTTGCCAGATCTCAAAGTGAATAGTACTCACTGGGGCCATCTGAGGACAGTATTGACCTTTACAAAAAACAGCATGTTGTAAAATCTGGATCCATTTATTATTCCGTGCACCCTCTCGTGGTGGTTTTATGGCCCTTTACATAAATACAGAGATGGGCGCGGCAGCAGCAGCAGCAGACGGTCAGTCCGGAGGCAAAATGAAGCTTTTTGTATTCAGTGTGAGAAATATTGTGTAATTAAATGTATTGTGAAATCAATCATAACATTTGTACGTACAGTATACATTAGGACTAACTGCAGGGTAATGCCTTTATTTAAGACACTACAGACCTGGCTTTGTTTTTAGATCAATCCATGCTAATATTAGGAACTACCGGTACAAACATGAAACTCTGCCCCTTTTATTTGAATGTCTCAGAGCAGTTTTTGCCCTTTATAACACAGGCATTGACCCTAAGTTAAGTTTTAACAATTTCTCAAGGGAAATTGCATTATTAACAATCACATCGCTGTGTTAGCAGCAGGTACATTTTTTATTTACAATATAAAAACATAATTTTTCTACACCTCATCAAAAATTACACCTTTTGTTTTCTCCAGTTAATCATCTTATCCACAACTATATCTTGAAACCTTTAGTAAATAATATTAAGTCAAGTCTTCACACTGTACAAAAACCTTCATTGTCATGCTCTTATTGTTTTGCCTGAGTTTTCGTTGATTTTTTGTTTGCTTGATCGTGCCCCTGGTGGTGTCCTTCCCTCCCCTCCCCCCCACAGCCCCCTCCGCCCCCCCTCAGCACGTGCACCTGCTCAGCCTCAGCTCCACCAGCCTCAAGGTGAGTTGGGTGGCCCCTCCCGCCGACAGTCGCCACGGCGCCATTGTGCGCTACACCGTGAGCTACCAGGCCCTGTCCGGAGAAGACACGGACCGACATGACGTGGCCGGCATCGGGGCGGACGCCAGCAGCTACGTGCTGGAAGGTCTGGAGAAGTGGACTGAGTATCAGGTGTGGGTCAGGGCGCACACTGATGTAGGCCCGGGCCCAGAGAGCTCCCCCGTCAAGATGAAAACAAAAGAAGATGGTAGGTCGATTCTGGAGAACGCCACGCTGCCAGACTCCACTTTCCTACTGTGGCTGTGCCTTCCCACTATACTCAGCTGGAGTACAATGCTGCTGCTTCTGCTGTTACCTAACTGAAGTGAAAGATGTAAAATAATTAATTAATAATTAATTATAATACAGATTAATAATACATTATACAAAGTGTAGGATACACCCACACTTGTGCTGTTTCAAACCTGTGGGACTAAACTTTTAGACCGTGACTGGGCTGTAATAGTTGCCCAGCTTGTCTCACACTACAGTTTTTCGGTTTATGATGTGAAATTCAGCCTGAATTTCTAAATCTTGGATTCATGTAAACTTGGAATTGAAAAACTTCAATTTGACAAAAAATTAAGTATTACGTTGGCAATTTGTATGTAATTTATTGTACGTCCTCCACAATGCGATTAACTAGTTACAGACTTAGGAAAACACAAATCAAAGCATGAGCAGTTTTTAATTTGACAGTTATAGACTTTACACCTGTAAGTGTTACATCTTTTTTTTCAGTCGCGGAAACCGAGGAGCAAAGTATTCTTCTTGCCCTTTCTCATTTCATGCTCTGTTGAATATGTGCTGTTGATCAATTATTCTTAATGAGGAGATGGTGTTCGCACAAGTCACCTTCTCACCTCCGCCACCTCGCTCCTCCAGCTTTTCTAGGCAGCTGTGATATCTCATGTCTGTGACAAGTCAAGAATTCTACTGCTCTTTCTGTGCTGCTATAATGCCTTCTTGCTTCTGTCGACCTGAACAACGTTACAAAGCTATACAATTTTTTTCAATTGTTTAGCTTTTAACTGAGAAGGATGTAAGACTTGAAACCATACATTAGCATTTCCCAATCAAGGATACAGAGGACAGTGACGAGGAATTACATGAGAATATTGTCTGATGTTAAGTGAAATATTAATAGATTTTTGTTTTTTATCTTTCAAAAAGGATTTTGAATGTATTTATTTATTCAAGCACAATGTTACATGTTACGCTAGAATTGTATTTTTATAGGGTAAAGCAAAAAAAAAAGGAGTAGGCAGAAGCAAATTAGTAAATAATTATTAAAAAGTGGCCAACGCAAACTAATGCACCCACCTTGGGAATAATTTGAGCGTGGGACCAAACTTGGTTGCAAATCAGTGTTCTTCATGTTCTTTGTGATTTGCATTTCAACAAAATCTTCTGATGACATTTGCTCTTTTTCCTTCTTCATAGTCCCTCACTTCTCCCTCTTTTCTATACTTTTTTTTGCTGCTTGATACTGAACAACTCCGAAGAGAGAGCCATCTATAATTAATGTGTTTGAAGTTTGCTACAACACGGCTAATTTCATAGCAGAATTAAGGGCATTAGAGAAATTGCTAGGCCCCATGCTGTCTCGCTGAGGGTGTTTCAGGGACACTGTAGAAAGTCTGAGGAAGGGGTTTTAATGCGACGCCTGCGCAAATACTACTTTCTTAACCAGGGCATAGTCTGTAAAATAACTCCCCAGTCATTATTTTTAGTTTCCAGTTCTTGGCTACACTTCATAAAACCTGGTAGAGTGAGTGAAATCCAACCTCAGCATATTTCTAACTGTGCTCTGTCTATGTCTCTTTCCATTTCCTTTTTCCTTTTTTTTCTTCCTCGGACTGCAGTGCCCGGAGCGCCCCCAAGGAAGCTGGAAGTAGAAGCTCTGAACTCCACTGCCATCCGGGTGACCTGGAAGCCACCCCTCCAGCAGAAGCAGCACGGGCAGATCCGAGGTTACCAAGTCATCTTTTCGCGCCTTGAAAATGGAGAACCACGTGGCCAGCCCAACATCCTCGATGTAGCTTTGCCAGAGGCCCAGGTACCGCTCCTATTTCATTTTTTCCCCGTATTTTGCGCTGTCACTGTCTATAGCCGTCTTCTGCTCATTTCCCATTATTTTCAGTCTCCATTCCTCCCCTGCTACCTTCTATTCTTCACACTCCATCTACCACAATCCTCTGACACATGTGGAGCGAGCCATCCCCTTCCCCGCCCTTTTTCTTACATGTGGCATTTGACTCTGAATTGCCAATGCCCAACTCCCTCCGCTTCAGATTAGCCGTTCTAACAAGATACATTCTAATTCCGCAGTAATAGCGCTTAAATATTTGATACCTGCCACATCAGGACCAGGCTTAGTGGACTCAGTGCACCTCCGTCTTTGCAGCAGACGCACATATGCACTGCCGCGTCGCCATGTTTATACATTAGACTTATTTCACCAACATCGCCCTTGACGCGTGAATGTAGTTTCTTGAAAATCACCCACAGCTTTGCAACACTGAGATGGATGAAAGATTGTAATACTTAAGAGGGATTCAGAAATTCATGAATATCTTAAGACCAAAAAAGCCCACTATCACTTTTTGCTTGTCTGTGGGACCAGCTTAAGAGGCTGCAGAGATTGTTTGCCTTGAGTAACACTCGCGCGAACACGCTTTGACTCACCCCCTCGATGGCCTCCAACAAAAACATTGAATTTGAACAAGTAAGCGTTCTCTGGCCGCAGGACCAGTATCTGAACAGCCTTGCATGCGTGTGTCTGATAAACGCTTCGCTGCTGTATTTAGGCAGAACAGCAGGTTGCTGGTTCAGTTCCCAGGCAGAGGGATGCCCTTGAGTGCTGCTATTAACCCTCATTTGCGTTGGCAAACATCCCGCTGTCTTTAGTCTTATCTTTACCGAGGAGCAGCGCTGTTCAGTCACCTTGGAATCACATGTCAGACGTGTTGGGTCCCTGGATACTGAGCGAGAGCTGCTGCCACTTGGGTACAAGGGTGATGATGAATGCTGGTGAATTATCCTGATGTGCTTGTCAAAATAAAGCTCTGTGCCATATGGCCTTTGTATGAGTCTAAATTATAACATTAGAATTATTTAAAGTTGTGGTACCTAATTTTCATATCCCAAAATGTGGAAATGAAATCCATCTAAATTGTCTCTGGCTCTAAAAAAGTTTATTTCACATCTGTGGTGTGCAAAAGAGAGGACCACCATCAGATCTCAGCCCAACTAGCTCAACTAGTGACTCACAGGGCTTTTTTATACAAAGATAACATTTCCTACTACTTCTAATAATAATAATAAACTCAACACTCACCTTACAAAAGGTACAAGGTTAAAAGCAAAAAACTGTTAAAAGCATACAGAAGTAAGAATACAAGTTGTGTTTTGGTTTGTTCACAACATTTTACTTTTGCACGTCTTTGCAAGTCTTTCTGTTGGGACAAACAAAGTGTAATATTTCTGAAACAAAACCACTCGGTGCCGCACTAAGTCCATTGCCTCTAATACATTCAAGTGAGTGGCTGCTAGCACCTGGCCCTTGTGTGTTAAACAGCTCTTCAAATGAGTCCAGTCCAGAGCCTTTATCTTGGGGCTGCTCAGTTTGGCAGCGTTCTGTTGTCCAGCGCTAGTTATTTTCGCTCTCAATAGTGTGGCTGACAGTTGGGACAGGGAAGTTTGGCGCTAAAAAGAAAAAGATTGAGAAAAAAATAAGTCTTGAGGTGACTGGACAGAAGTGTTTTCTCAGTTGGACGTGCTGAATGTGACAGCGTTGGGGTATGAAAAAAGGAGCTGAACATGACCCGGCCTGTTGTGCACACAATACCCACTGCCATGTCTCATTTGAGCAGCTTCACACTATAAACACAAAGGCCCTCTGGAGTTTTGGCTCTCGCAACGCTGCTCAAGTTCCACTCTGCTGTCCTGGATGTCACTCCCCTGCATCACCTCCATTCTCATGGCCTTTGTTTTGCATACCAGCAGTTGGAGAAGTAAAGAAAGTAGTTTAGTGATTTCATCCAGAAAAATTTTAGTATCTTTTTTAGTTTCAGTATTTGATCATTTTTCTTTTGGGACTGAAGATATGATTATTTCTCTTGCAAATAAGGCCCATAAAAACAAACACAAGCTGCCAGATACGAGTGGACATATATGTAGCAGTCACAAGGATTGAAGTAATTCAGTAAATTGCTATAATTGTATTAGTTACAGTAATCAAACATTTATAATACAAAAGGTATTACCTCATATGTGTTATTATGAAACAATAGTACCAGTGCCTTACACATTAGGTTTGCGTGCAGGCTGGTAACTCTTGATTGAGTCATCTCTGTCAGATTGTTGTGTATAAAACATCTCAAACCTGCATAGACAAGTGCAGATATCATCGAACAGACCACACAGTCAGACTAGCACGCCTCAATCCGGGCTATCCCAACCGCTTTCCCCCTGCCGCACCTTTTCTCACACTTCCCCTCAATTTCATAATCCAAACAACAAGTGGAAAATCACCAGTGATAACGTGAGCGAACATGCTTCTGATCAGCCATGTTGGGGCGTTCCACTTGGCTGCCGGAAAGGTTGTGACTCATCGCAGACACTGTAACATGATTTACCTGTTATAATGACTACGGCAAACACAAAAGTTTACTTTGTAATTTTCTTAACAAGATCCATAATTTGTTTTGAAACTTGAACCTTGTAACCTCTGCACCGCTGAGTAAACACAACAAATGTAGAGGAACAATCATACGTTGGAAGTCAATGGGGCAGTCAAAAATATGCATAAAACCATTTCAAATGTTCCAAAACGAATGGAAAACTACAACCTGCAGAAGGACGCATAATATAATAATTTCTAAATGGTATATGGGAAAATGTAATCAAAGTGTTGCATCCAGGACCTTACAGTGGCTGTCACTTTTGAGCCTTGTTCCTGATAACATTTCCTAGCCTCCTAACCTCGCGTCACCTCCCAGCAGACAGATGGTGTTTGGATTTGATCAGACCAAGAGCTATCACCTCTCTCCAGGCGTTTTGCTTTTGTGTCTTTTTTGTTTTGTTTTTTCCGATGGAAGGGCTACTGCCGGGTTCACTGTAATGCTGAGAGTAGCGTGAGGAAGAGCTACATAGCGTGGGCAAGCTAAGCGCCTCTTCTTTTTGAAGACCATTCCCACACAGCGCCCTCATTTCCCTGCTAAATTTAAATTTGGAGGCCGTGCAAACAATGTGATGATGTCAAGCCCTTATCAAACTTGATTTTTAAAATAGCAGAGTTGCATGAACCTGAGTGGGCATTCAATGTTTACAAACCATGGACTTTCTCCACCTATTGACTTTTTTGCTGCAAGTTAGGAACAAATACTATGTGTTTTGTTGCTAACATAGAAGCCTGTTTTCAGCCAATGCAATAACTAAATGTAGGCCATCTTAAAACTCACCAGGCTATTCCAGTTCCTCAATGTGAAAGGGAGCACATAACCAAGCTGCTGCTAGTAAAGAATATCCTTGAAAGTATTGGTCTAATGGCTATCTACATTTTGCTTTACTCAACTGCAATATCAATTTGTTTATTCAATTATTACTTGAACAGAATATGTAAGTAGTGCTCACTGGATTTGAAAAATCAGTGCAAAGGGCCAAATAATCTCAAGTGAGAGGCATGCATGGTCTTTGCTTGCTTAAATCTATTCAACAACACGCAAGAAGTATTATTGTTGTCTATTATATATATATATATATATATATATATAAATATAAATGATGCAAGGCTATAACAATATGGCAGATTAAGTAAAAATATTATTGCACATTCCTACTATTACTACAGTTTTGCACACCTTCACTACAAATGATACAGGTCTGAGAGGTCATTGACATGTTGTATGTACAGTATGTTGACATTCTTGAAGTGACCAGTTCATATTTTGTTAGAATGGTGAGAGTAACATCACACAGAAGTATACCGGCCAAATTTCAATTTCAATAGGTTTTTTCTTTTCTTTTTCTTTTTTATCCCAAGCTTTCTCAGTCGTTGATTCAATTTTTTTTCCAACAAAGTTTTCCACGGACACAAGTTCCTACAGGACTTTTCTGGGGTCCATCTTGTTTGACCACTCATGCGTTGTAGCGGTGTATGTGTGCGCAAGTGCGAGCCAGCAGCGCACCGCTCCACTGCCTTCATGGCCTTCACCGGCTCGGATTGAACTCAAATGAATTGAGGTTAAAAAAAAGAGTCGAGCAAGTACTTCAGCGCTTTCTCCTCCATCAATCTCCCCTTTTTGATTCCACATAAGTCTTGCCCTTTTGGCCCCATTTGTACATCCACTTGTGCGCCCCTGTCATCACGTCATCCGCTGGTCGGCAATTCTCACAAACGACTGCTTATCTGCCACAATGTGTTTTCAGCACTCATTGGTATTCAAAATATAAATGGAGGGGATAATTTATAATTCTCTCACGGATTTAAACAGAGCGCAAAAGCAGTTGTGATAGAGGAGGATTAAGCCTGCGATGCAACTCTAGCAACCCTAATGTGTTTGTTGACATACTGGAGACGACGGTAAACAAATTGAACAATGTGCAACATCGCTCCGGTTGTTATTAAGGGTTAAATGGCAGGAGTACCTCTTTAGCGCTTCGCCAACTCAAAACACCAAATATTTCCAAACGCAATGTGGCTTCACCACCAATGGGACCACTGCTCACTTCACTGATCAATATCTCTAAGTAGTCAGGGTTAAGAGGGAGGAGAAGGGATACTAATGTTTGAAAGAAGTCAAGATCACGGTAAAAATAGAAATGCTTATAGTACTGTCTTGTTTTGCATCCTTTCATTTCATATATAGGTTGTTTTTGGTTTGAAAGCTTACATAATTCTGGTAATGAAGAAAAAAACGTCTTGCTCCAATTTTCCTCCAAGCTTCTTCATGTAGCTCTCAATGGTAAAGTAAGCAAATAATGACATATATTAAGAACGCAGCAATGCATCAATTTGATTTGGAAGTAAATCTACAATAATTCATATTTTTCCAACACAAAAGCCCCCTCTCCTTTCTCACCTTCCTCCCACTTATGTGTCACCAGTGTTGACTGTCACCCAGGCCACCCATGGGTGCTTTCCTCCACAGCACCCAAGTGTGAAGCTGGTCGCTGGTTAAATGTCTGAGGGTGCGTTGTGCATTGGTGGGGCGCGGTGTCACCGGGCGAGCATCATGGTGCTCGTAATAGGATTTTACGCTCAGCACCGATGAAGCCCCGCGGCACGAAATAGGCTTTCACTTCCCCGGGGAATCACTCGGCCAAGCGCAGCCGGCAATGAGAACATTTTCAAAACGTATTGAAATATGATGAATAAAATTTCCCCTCCTCCTTCTCTCTGTTTCTGTGAGGAATGGACAGCATGGTTCAGGGGGTTTTGCTTAGTCGTTCTCAACAGGTGGGACGGACCACAATTTTGGTGCAATGAACAAATTCCGTCAGGGAAATCTTTAAAGCTATACTTACATATTTCAAGATCTTCAAGTCAGATCACGACATGCTATTATGAAACTAGGAAACATGTTATATCTCACATACAGAGAGCTGAATGGCTGAGTGAGGGTGGTCAGCTTTTTAACTGAAAAAGCTGATCTAAAGATGTGACGGAGGCCAAAAAGACGTGCATGTGAAAAAGTTGTGAAAGAACCAAACTGGTTTGGGGAATAGGAACTAGTTTTTGTTTGTTGTTGTTTGTTGTGTTTTCAAGGTTAGGTACTACAGCTTTAATGAGGTTTCTCAAAATGTTGCTATCTCAACCCCTGAAATATAGCTATAAACTCTGTGTGGATTGTCAGCACTCTGTGTTCTACCAGTTGTTAACGTCCATCTCTAAAAGCTGTTTTAAAGATTTGTGAAGTTATCTATGTGCCAGAGGGTGAAAACAAGAAACCAATTTGCTGCCAGACAAACGGGTAATGCAGCTTTGAAATATATAAAATAATGATCTTATTAGTGCTTGTTTATCAAAGTATAAATACAGTAGGGCTGTAGCATTTTGTTTAAAGCGCCTCATCCAATTCTCAAAAAGGCAGTGCATTCGTAACAATCCTACATTTTGGCTCCACTGTTCCACATTGTCTTCTCACACTGTCCCACTCCTCCTCCTCTATCTTCCTCTCATTGATTTGTATTGCATGACCATGTCCACACCTACTGTCATCCATCTTAGTCTGAAAAAAAGACCAGCAAAGATCTTTTTTTCTAGTTTTGTGTTGTCTGTGACTCACCTCTCTCTCCTCCCCATTCTGGCCCTGTGTCTCTCCATCAGTGGAATATTGACGAGTCCACCGAGCATGTGAGTAACTGCCTGTGTGTGCTGCTGTGGTTGGGTTGTTTGGCAGGGCAAGCCTTTTTTACAATTTGCAATTTTTTTTTAATGTTCTTAATTGTTTTTTATAATTTTGGGTGCAATTTAAATGTGTGTACACTCAACATGTGTCTGTGTGTGCGGGTGCGCTTGTGAGTGGGTTTGGCATTGGAAAATATGCTCACTGGCCATATTATTAGGCACTGTAATTCATGCAAATGCCATGGCAGCGTTTCCGTACAGACACTTCTAAGTACTGGTTAATTGGTGCCTTTTTATTTATGAGGTATCTTTTCTAGTGTCTAGGCACTTTCCCCCGGTGTTATTGCTTTCCTTTGAATGTTACATAGCATACCGTTGAATATATGCTTTATGCAAGAAGTGTCCGTGCCTAATAAACTGGCCGTTGAGTGTTTAGTTTAATCCTTATTATCCATGCTGTGAGAAGAAATCGTTACAGACCTCACAACCAAAGAAAGGTCTCTGATACTGAGTGCTCTTTTAGTTCTGTGCAATACTTTCCAGGAAAACTAACCGTTGAACGTTGAGAATGATGTGTCTAATGGTGTAAGTCTGGCAGCAATTCACTTTGTAATCAATCATCTGGGATGTTCTTCTTGTTGCACAATCTTCATTATAGTCTGTCAAATGCAAATGCTGTGAAAATAACAGTGACTACTATAACCACAAACATGGGTGACATGGGACGTGTTTTTTTTAGAGCATATTGTACACTGCACCAATATTCTTGCTTGTGTACAGATACTAGTTCCGATGATTGCTTAACATCCTATCATTGGTATTTGGATGTGTCAAAATCCAGCTTACCAGCTAACATTAGAGCTTGTTGAGTTTAGAGTAGGCTTCAGGAAAAATAGCACATGCCCATTGACGTTTACTGTATGGTTTCAATGAGTCATCGAACCACTTTAACATCCTCCGGCTTACTGTGTGATGGGTCTTCACATAGGCCTTTATCTAACATTGTATGGCTATAATCTCATAATAAGGTTTTTAACAGGTTTAATTTAGTTACTTAAAAGAGGATATGCACATTATGAATGGATGGACCATTACCTGCTTGAGTCCATAGAGAATCAGGAAAATCAATAACAATTCTTCACCGATACAGTTACATCGTTCACCTTTAATGGTAGTCTGGCATTTCAGTGATGGTTATTGTAAAATCGTGTGTTAATAACGTATTAATAAGAAGTATTGTCATGGGGCTCTTCTCCATATCTCAAGGCAGGATTCTGGCATTTGACGTTAAACCAATGCTTAATCAATATGTTAATGACTGAACACAGATGAAGTCATTTGCTCTAGTATTACTCACTGGTGTATTGCTCATTATTATATTCTAGTTTATTCATGGAGACGAGCCTTGGACCAAATGCATTTAAATTATGCCTTTAATTAACATCAGCGCTTCATAGGTTTCAGCTTCCCGTTAAAAGCAGCATTTTGAGGATTTTTCCCATTCGAAATTCATAGTTGTTTGAATCATCCAGAAAAACATTGATATTATAACTTGGTTACTCATTAGTTAACTGTTGGACAACAGAGTGTCATTCCCCACATCTCCATGATATGGGTCATGAGAGACATCGGTTATAAAAATCCTTAAGTCTTAAAAGAGCACAGTCTAAAATCTCTTGGTCTCCGTGGAAATTTAATCTTTCTAAGCATTACAAAGCAAGAGCTAGTCCATGGGAATAATCAGGTGATGTTCCCTCCAATAGTAAAATCGTTCTAGTGGAGGCCAAATCGTTTTGTTAAAGACTAAAGTACACATTGGGGTATACAACAAAACTTCCCTCGTCTAGCTTGGCAATTTATAGAGCGGCTTAAGGAGAGATTCCTCAAGAAGATGATCTATTTTTATTGCATATAAATAGAAATATCTTTTTTTTTTCACTACAGTAGTCTGTCCCCGTGTCTGTCGTGACATCAATCAGGCTTTTTTAACCTCCTGTTTTCCCTGACTATTTTAGAGGAGGAGCTGGGGGTTTTATCTGTTCTACACATCTCCAGGATTGCCACCAGGCTTTCATGTTCTCTTCATTTGCGTTGGATGGCAGCTCACGGTTCCGCACCTGTCATAGAGCCCTTTGTTATGCCTTATTACCTCCGCCGTGTCATCCTGCTCCGGCGAAATGTGCAGCCGCTTACTGTTCCGTCTCAGAAATTCAATCTAAACCTGCCAGGCTAACAGAAACGCATTTCCAAATCCTCAAAGATGAGTTGAGGTGTAAATGTTTAACGCATAGTCAGTTATTTTGCTTGAATTAAGGTAAACCGGTTAAAATTGACGTTAAAGAATAATTTATTGCCCCTGTAGGGAAACATCTATTTGACCCACTACTGCAGGGGTGTCAAACCGGTTCTAGAAAGGACCGGTGTGGAGTCTGGTGTGCTCCTGCTCTGGTTGAAACTAAAACCTGCAGCCCCACCGGCCCTTTGAGAATCGGTTTGACACCCCTGCACTATGGTAACCTGTCAGGAGCAGTGCCCTGGGACCCATTTCCAGTTGTTGATGCCCAGCTTGGCCAGTACTACTGGGCCTTTGAATCGGATCGGGCTTGCAACTTTCTTGCTGTGAGCCACAAGTCTACTCACTCAACCCCCTGCTGAACCATGATGCCAACTTCTTCAATGCGCAGAAAAAAGCAACAATTATCAAACAATAATAGTCCCAGCATCTGTGCAAAGTCACCATATTGACGTTTACAAATGCGAGTAGATTTCTTGGCCTAAGTTTTCAAAAACAGTGATGCATCAACATAATGTCTCCAAGCTTCCAAGCGCACCCACGCGTCGTGAGTCACAGCGTGGCCTCCTCGCTTTGCTGCTAATGTTTTTATTAGATAAGACAGATGCTCGCACGTGACCTAAAGAATCTTCTGTGCCATACATTTTATTTTAAAGGCACAAGTTCCCCCCACAGCGAGAACAGTGGCATCGAAGCCTGGCAGAGAAGAATCCACTTCTATAACAAGTCTTGATAATCTGTGTAATGCCCTTTGGTGCTGCTCTAAGCATTTGCTCAGAAGGGAACTTTGAAGTCGCGCTTTTCCCCATTTTGTGCTGAGTTTCTAAAGTGGCACTAGACCCAATTCGACCTTGCCAGAATAAGAAAAAAAAAAGATCTCGTCTGCCTGCGTGCGCTTACTCTCAAAGCCATTTCCTATGATTAAAGTAATGAGACTTTTTCCATAACGCAAAAACTGTTTTATGATACTGTAATTTAGCATTTTTCTCCCCTGTCTCGCTAAAGCTCCAAATATAAAAAAAAATATACTGAGAATTGCATTGTGGAAATGGCTTATGCAGAAGTGTGCTTATAAGGCGAGGCAATTAAAAGTTCATTAGTTAGAGAAACAGCATTAGCCATAGCTGCATAACACTGCATGAGGAGGAGATCCGGCAGGAAGGCTGGCAGGCATCAGTGGGCTTGTCCTCTCCATGGCCCCAGACAAGAGCAGCGTGTGTGCATAAGCCGCAGGCCCTAATTTGTTCTTTGGATCGAATCGTTGTTGTTATGTGTGAAACCATGCAGATTTGTGTGCGTTTGCTGGTATGGAAATGTACACGCGGGTGAGTATGCATCCGAGTGTTTGTATAGAGGCCTGGTTTGAGCTGGTTAAAGTGGGGGGGTTATTATTATTTAATTTTTTTTTGTATTAATTTGTGTGGTTTGTTTGTTCCTGACTGTTCTGTTCAGGATTGTTCAAGTACCATGTGTGTTTGTGTTTACTCTTAGTATTAATATTTGCAATAGCCTGGCCAGTAATACCATTCCCAATATTGACCTTTCTGTCACGGTATCAACCCTGTAACTTTAGCATATTTGGCTTGTCTAAATCAGGCATAAAGCAGGTCTAAAAGTTGTCTAAATCAGGACGAAAGCAGGTCTAAAGGATTATTTTTTGTCATAAAGAATAGAGTTGACGCCATGTTGACGCCAATACCATGCTGTAGAACTAAATAATAACAAGGGAATTAAACACAGTTAAATCTTAAGTTTTGGTTTCACAAGTTAACTGAATGGATGGCCAGGCTATTTTAGGTGTACACATTTTGAAAAGATAAAACAAATGGTTTGTATACTGTTCAATCTAACAGTATATACTTGAATTTTAGAGGCTTGAATCTTACTTTGAGCATTGGTTGAACACTGACACACTGGTTCAGTTTGATGGTTCACGGGTTTGAGATGCAGGAGTTTTTCTGTCAACAGAAAAATCCCTGTTTCCCTCCATGTTTGTGTGTGACACGTTTGGTGCTTTTGGATTTAGCTGGGCGAACACATTTGCAATTTTTCTGTCTCACTGTTCGATGTGTGTATTGAATCTTGCAGGAGGCTATTATTGGTGGATTACTATCAGAAACCACATACTCGGTGACGGTAGCAGCCTACACAACCAAAGGGGATGGCGCTCGGAGCAAAGCGAAAGTCATCACCACGACCGGAGCAGGTCTGTACTGTCATAACACATGCTATCACTAAGTAGCACTTATGGAAGTAGGTGCAGTTTATCTTGTGCACATGTGGACCCTTCACCATTATCTCCATTAGCTGACGCTGACATAGAGGCCCCCATTTAGATTGTAGTGTGAATGGAGCCACAAGGAGAATATACAGTAAGGTTGCGAATATTTTAGTATCCAAGTATTTGTTTAGCTGTTTGCCCTCTTTTTGGATATGTCGAGGATCTAGGAAAAATTCATTATTGGTATATATATATATATATTTTTTTTATATTAATTTAGTATCTTTCCATTGGGCACAACTACAGTATGCATTACTCCAAGGAGAGATCTAGAACTATTACTAACTGCTGCTACTACAAAAACTACTACTATTCAGTTTTTGTTGTATAGGCCTAAATAAATTATGCCAATTCACCAACAGCAGAAAATACATTAATAACAAACACATAGGAGGCATTGGTCCATAGGGTTTGACCAATGTCCATTAACGTTAATAAATGTCGTTAAATGTACAGTATTTAAACTACTACAACTAATTTGATAATCCACTGAGCTGTAGTTCAAAGTATTCATTCCCTACACACATTTATGTAATTGTATCTCTAGTGCCCGGAAAACCCACTATGATGATCAGTACCACGATGGGGAACACTGCCCTGATCCAGTGGCAGCCTCCTAAAGAGATGGTGGGTGAGCTGATAGGATACCAGCTTCAGTACAAACGCACAGACGACGAAAACTTTACATCCCGAGAGCTGAAGGGGAAGGACGAGCACTACACTGTCACCGGCCTGCACAAGGGCGCCAACTACATTTTCCGACTGAGCGCCCGTAATCGCGCAGGGATCGGAGAAGCCTACACCAAAGAAATAAGTACCCCTGAAGACATACCCTCTGGTTTCCCCGTCAACCTCCAAGTGACAGGTCTGACCCAGGCTAGTACACAGCTGACATGGGAGCCCCCCCTGCTGGCGGAGAGGAATGGGAAAATCACATACTACATGGTGGTCTACAGGGATATCAACAGTCATCAAAACAACACAAATAAAACCACAGAGAATCATATGACCATTCATGGCTTGAGCCCTGATACCACCTACGACATCCGAGTCCAGGCCTACAACAGTAAAGGAGCAGGTCCACTAAGTCCCAGCATACAGAGCAGGACCATGTCTAACGGTAAGTCACATTTGCAAATGTTATGTGATTTGATAAACGTAAATTAAAAATATTGGGGATGTGTGACACATGTTCCTGTATCCAGAACACTTTCTCTTCAACAAGCGGCTCAAACGTTTTCCGACATCTTACATTTTTTACTTGGATTTATGTTTGTTATTCAAACATATTGTTGTTTTTCATCATTTGAAAGGGTTACCATTATAAATCTCTGTTATTTCTTTAAGTTGCCCAGCACTGACTGTATCAATGTTTCATAGATGTAATCATTAATTAAAGTACTGTTGATGCCTGAAGTATTGTATCACCTTCATAGTGTAAGCCTTTTATCTTCCTAACATGCCCCTGTTCCTTGTACGTACATGGAGAGCCTGGTCTCTCGCTCCTGCTGTTTTGCTGTTAGCTCTGTACCACTCAGTACTATAGAACCATGCCTTTATTGATTTATAGACTCGTAATCCCATCACACGCTATCGTCACGTCACCCTCCCTGCCATTACACACAAAGCCCACTCAGCAAGCACCTGTCTGAGTTTTATACCCTTATAAATGTGATTATTTATTTATAAGACAACCAATTCTAACCCCCATTGTGTTGGCACTCCCACATTTCCTGGTAATCGCTACCATCTTGGCCTGTTACACACAGTATATCTCGTTAAGATTATATAAATTATATTCTGTATAACAATCAGAAAAAGCTTCAGGAGATGTTGGCTATTTTTAAATGCTTTTAAAATCAAGCATGAAGCCTGATTTTTGATGTGAGGTACCACTAGTGAATACTCATGTTATTTTCCACAGGGTAATGCAGTGTACAGTACAGTAGTGTGAAATGGGAATTCACCACAGTGGGATTACGTGCTGGGCTGTGAAAAGTGTTCTGTGAAGATAGTAATCAAAGAACTCTTGTTTCACCTCAGATTTTCCCACCTTAAACTTTGGCGTCAAAGCTGTCATGAAGACATCTGTTCTCCTCACCTGGGATTTGCCTCCTAACTACAAGTCCCAAGTGCCTTTTAAGGTAAGTGGAGCATTCCAAGCAGCCAATACACAATTAAGTCATTACAAAGATGGCAGTTATGTCTATATTTTCACGGAAACACACAATTGAAATATTCTAGTATCGCAACTACTTGAATCCGTGCTATGAAAATGAATTATTAGTATTACACGCTTATAGTTCTCCATTATTGTGTGCGTTGTGTATTTTCATTGTAAGTTATGGGCACGGTGGCACAGTGGTTAGCACTGCGTTATGGCAAGAAGGATGGATGTTGGTTATTTCTGAGTGAAGTTTGCATGTTCTCCCCATGTCTTGTTTCCTCACTACTACTATAAAAACTTGCACAATTGGTCATGTATGGCAACCCTACTTCTATCACTGTGGACAGAGAGAAAGAAAAGGCCCACAGGCTGTACATTGTGTAAAGAGCATTGTGACACTGTCTGTGAAAGGTGCTATATTTATATAAAGGTGACGTATACTTACTTACTTATATATGGACTCTCTTTCAAGACCTTTTCGCACATGGTTATTGTTGAATGCTTGAATGAGATGTGCATAAAGAAAGTGCTCACATCTGATAAAGGCGTTACGGTGACACGTTACTCACGACATAAACATGTTTACACAGCACATTCATTTATTTATGAAGTGTCAGACTCGGATGACATTTTCACTGCAGTATTTCTCACTGATCCTCAGCAAGGAAATGTACAGTGTGAAAAACATCTCTATGTATAATTATTTCTGTAGTCTACAGTTAGAGCATATGCCATACACAAATTTGTTCTTATTTGATCGTGTTACAAACTATATTTCTCTATATTCATGTAGACAGAATGTGGAATTATCTACCTTGCATTTTTTTTTTTCAAAACTTCTATGTTGATAATAATAATACAGTTTATTATAAAATATACCTTATATTTCCATGAAACCTCAAAGTGTTCAATTCAATACAACAAACAGAAAGGATACTAGAAAAGTATCTAACTGTTTTAAAACAAGCTTGGATAATGGGACAAAGCCATTGAGTCTTATTTCAAGAACTGTTGCATTTGTTCTCATTCTGTGGAAGACATTTCTTGTAGGTAGGTAGATTCTTTTTATTCATCTCATGAAAATGCATAGCTATACAAAATTCTAAACATTTAAAGAAACCATTCAAACAAATCATTTAAACATTTCCATGATCAGAAAGGAGCAGATAGAAGAATACAATTCTTATATTTTTCTGCCCCCTTGTAGCTTTTTAAAACAAGATATTTGTGCTTGGACCACTGGCAAATCTTGCTTTAAGATACATTTTGCCAAATTTGAGAAATCTTAAAAAAATGTTTCATCAAAAGCCTTAATATGCTTAAAATAGTTTTAAACTATAAAATAGTTTTAAACTAGATATTTGAGATAAGATTATAAGGCCTTGTGTTGAAGTCATCAATCAATATGTTTTTGCATTCAACCCCCAAAGATGTTTATCACTTTAAGCCCCCACGATTGGATTACACACATCCTATAGGCACTATACTGGCTTATGTCAACATCGGTCATGCAAATAAGTGCTTTGACATATGTCCCTGGTACATAATTCTAAAACCTGGGTTAACATTTTGCACAGGGCTGTACAAAAAGTTTCCTTTCGCACACACTCATGATTTATTGTGTACTTCCCAGATTCTGTACAACCAGCAGAGCGTGGAAGTGGAAGGAATCCTCAAGAGGAAGCTGATCACCTCTCTGCAGCCCGACACGGACTACTCGTTTGTGCTGACCAGTCGAGGCAACATCGCCGGGGGCCTCCAGCAGCAGGTGTCCATCCGCACTGCCCCGGATTTGATCAAGACCCAGCCCATCAACAAGCAGTCGGAGGGCGGCAAAATGACCATAGTCCTGCCTAAGGTCCAGACAAACTCTCAGATAAGGTCAGTAATGAACCCCGCGAGGCCTCTTTGCTCTCAGGTTCACTCGCATTCTGGGCACGATTCCCCCCCGATAAGTGATGACCGCTGTCAGCCTCCCGACGCCATTATTTTACATTAGCATCGCGGCTAATAGCTTTGTTTGTGCTTCGGTTCTTGGCTGCAGCAATAGCCAAGGCCTCCATCACTGCACAAGTGCGATCTGTGCACATTTGTGAGATGGAAGTGGAAGCACATAAAAATCCACGAGATGTCAACACGATGCAGCACGGCACCAAGGACAATGGGGCCTGGCGTTTTGCATACATCTGCAATTGTGAGAAAGGCAGCCAACCTTGAGATAATCCTTGAGTCATGTTCAATTTGTGTTGTTTCATTTAAAGGACAGTGGGAGTTGTATTTCGTTTTGCATTAAGAAACATTTATGCCACAACTTTGGTACAAGTACTTGAGAAACAAGCCTCTCCTTTTTACATGTTTACAAACATAAAATACAATATTTTGTATTACATTACAACAAGCGACCAAAATACGCAATGGACAGGGATGATGTACTGTTTCTCATGTTGGGCAGTTAGACGTTTCTATTAAGTACCATTACTATTAAGGCTTAGATGGTTCTTTTAATAAGACAAAAATGTGGCAGACATCAGTGGGAGTCGTGAAGTAGGTCTTACGGTGGGCTCGAACCCACGACCTTCAGGCCCAAAGGCGGATGCTCGGATGATTAGCCAATCATCCATTATTTAAATTGTTGTCAACTAATGTATGTATGTGTGTATATCTTTGTATTTACACCTGCTAAGAAAAGGTTTTTAGAATGACATAAACATGTGTTTTAGTAATAGTAAGTCATCTCTATGAAGATATACCCCAAGGGCATCATTTGAGCTTTGTTTTGGTCAAATGTATAAAAATTAACATATTATCTGGAAGAATAATAGGATATCTTATTGATTTATCAAAATAATTGTTTCAATATTATGGTGTATTTCTTTGTGAACTAAAGTTGAAGCCACGTTGTCAAAGCATATTTGTTCTTCATTATTAGCCAAAGTGTTTTTAATATTGAGCCTCTCTATTGAATTTCCCATGTTTTTAATCTAGATATAAAAAGCGTTGGCAGCCCACCTTAACCGATCAATGAAAGGCTATTTAGAAACTTAAAGCACTGCTCTTTCAGCCTTTCACTAACTTGAATGACGTAATGACCTCACACCTGATGATAATTGCGACTTTTCGAGCGGCATTATCTTGGCTTCAGAGATTGTTGGAGCAGAAACAGCCCTGACCCTTTCTTTCCGGAGTCTTCCCCTTATTCCGTAGACTCACACACATAACATACGGAGGAAGGGGAGGAGGAGGAGGAGGAGGAGGAGAGAAGTTGATTGGTGAAAAGATTACAGGGCTGTCGGGCCTGGCTGAGCTCCAAGACTCAGATTGACGGGTGGAGAGGGTACAGGTGATTGGGGATGCAGAGATGTGCAGGTGCCGCATTCTGCCGCATTGAAAGTTGACTGACTGTTGAATCACAGAGTCAAGGCCTGGTGAGCTAGAGGAAGAGAAAGAGAGAGAAAAAAACGAGAGACACTGTCAAGGGAATCTGATTTTACAAGTGCTTGATGCTCTGTGGAAAAGAATTGACATGGCTGAATACAATGCTTCACCCACAACTCCCGCTGTTGGTTTAATTAGCTGGCACAATTGAGCACTCCAGGTCTTCTTGAAACAAGTACAAGCACAAGATGTTGATGTCATATCTGTTGTACAAATGTATTGAGAAAAATCACCAGCTCTATACTCATGAGATTGCATTTTGCACCACAAGATAAATGCTAAAATAGAACTGTTTTTTATTTTTATTTATATCCTAGTTTGGGAGATCTCAAAACTAAAATGATATGTGTTTATTATTAATATGAATCAGCAAAGGAGGGGCTAGAAAAAATCCCCTACCAAGAATCAATAGTTTGAAAAGATGACAGAGCCCAACTTGTTACCTGGTACTTCTTTTCCACAATGCCCTGGTTCCAACCAAAAAATAGCACAATTTAAACCTTATAAATGGCCAGATGTGTTTATTTATTTATTTTAACACAGGATTTTTATTGGGGAATTATTCTCCTGGCTCATGCTCAGCTCATTTTGAAGCTCGATCATCTCTTAATGTGATCTCAAAAGTCACATTTTAGCATTTTTTGTTGTTGGATACTGTTAACTGAAAAAACCCCTTGGGACTTACCCTTGTGAAACATTAAAAGATGCTCGCAATCGTCCCCATAATCGTCCGCATAATACCATAATAACCCTAACCCTAACCTTAACCCGCTCTTTGTCTAAGCAGGGGTTTGATATTCTATGCAGTAAAGGTATGCCCATTGAAGTTAAGTGACACAGTGCTTTCTATTAACCTGTAGATTCCTGTGGGTATCACTATTAGCTGAAGGTCTGTCCCAATGGAGCTGTATTTATTCCAGTCCAGGCGGCAGATGTTCTTAGTCATTAGCCATAAATTGGAGAACGTCACAACAATCTGCAGGCTTTCGACCTTTGCCTAACACTTAGATTTAGCATGCGTCCCTGTGCAAAGCTACACAGTGGGAACAAAAATCGACTAAATGTTTTGCCTGTTTAAGCGAATGCAACTTTTTGAACTCAGCGTGCAAGTCTTACTTTGTTTTCCTTGACAGGTGGTATTACATCGTGGTGGTTCCCGTGTCCCAGTCCTCTCGGCGATGGAATAGTCCGGACGAAATGGACCTGGATGAGGTGAGTGCCAGCCGGCGTCTGATTGGCTAATGCACACAGCGGTCAGAGGTTAGCGATAGCATCTCCCATTCCAACTGGGAAGGAAGTGGCAGCGTGTAGCGGCTAATTAGCTCTTCCACGGCAGGCTCCGGGAGGGGGTCAGGGGGAGGCAGGTTTAAACAATGACTCAGCCCAAACAGGTGCAGAGGAGAGATGGGATTAGACACGGCCCATCTGTGCTCTGAGACAATACTGACGGTAAGATATTTTTAGAAGCAATGTGGCCAATTATGATGCTTCTGTTTTGTTGGGAAGCTTTGACCTAAAAGTGGGTCTTAAAAAAGCCTCAATGTTGCCATTCAAATTAGTACATAGAAAGTTGTTAAGACTTTTAATTACATCCTTTTTTACATTTAACCAAAGAATGAAATATTTTCTCTTTTGTAACTCACTTGTCAACCTGCCTAACCCAGTCATGTTATCCACTTTTATTTGACTGTTTTGCCTCAAGGACCATTTCACTATGCAAGTTTTGGAAGATAATATGTATCATTATTTTTATTCTACCGTGACATTTTAATCACAAGAATTAATTCTGACTTTTGTTACAATAAAATGTTCACTGGTAGAAGTGCCACAGTAGCCTTTGAAACTGTTTTGAGGATTTCTTTAAAAGTATTTGCCAAATTTTTCTCTAAAGACTTTGTAGCCTTCTGATCCTGCTCATATTCCAGCTATGCTTTATTTCTTTGTGGAGACAATTATGCACTGGTTGTGTCAAAATGTTGAAATTGCAAATTTTGTTATAGCCCAAATTAAACGTCTCCTGTGACCCTCCTTTGAGGCCTGCTCCACTATCCTAAAACTTAAAACTTCTAAGTTCCTTTCAAACAAAGATAACATTCAAATGACTATCAAGATTTATGAGCCTATTATTTCTCCTCTCAATGACGGGTCCATGTCTCCACTTGGGACATGGAGCTAAATGACAAGTAAAAATATTAATAATTTTTAAAAAAAATTTTTAAGTAAACTCCTCAGCTGCTTGAACGGATCTCTTTTGTTGACTGTCCCTGCAGAAATAAGCACAGAAAGCCGGGAGCCCCCAAGTCATTAAACAGTGAGCGGACCATTGTCCCCTCCTCCCTCAGACATAATGATTTAATAAAGCTACATCTGGAGACAGCCGTGGCACCAAAACAAAACGCTGGTGGATCCCGGGCTGCCGCAGTGCTATGTATCGTGTCCGGACCTGCTCATTTATTAAGCCGCCCTGGCAGTCCTGCTGAGATGCACAGATTGCTCGAGACGGGGCCACTAATTGCTTACTCGGTTACTGTGGCTTCATTGTTTGCAAAAGTTGTGTCACAGAACAAAAGGCCATTAAGTTGGGGAGGCATTATCACCACTTATTTGGCAAACAACTGACCCCAGGTGTTTCTGAAATGGTTTAGTGCGACTGGAGAATGTATCCATGTAATTAATTAGAAATGAATTCATAATTTCTTCAGACGTCGTTCAGCAAAACCATAGCGCGTATTATAGGAGTGGATTGACCGAGCGCTGACGTAAAAAAGATACCAAAACAAAATGTAACAAACATTCACTGAATTAGAGGAGTTTACTTTTCAATGTTCTAAGTCAATATGTGCCAGAGCGACTTGGAGCAAAACTGTGTCCTTGAGCACCTCCCTATTGGGGTTTATTGAGCTTGGTGGTGAGTGATGTCCATCTCTATGAGCAAAGCAAGTACATTTAATCTGATTTTGGAATGGACAGTTGAGGTTTTTCCCGAACCCATGTCCAACATGAACAAATAGCTATTACTTAATAACTTTTTTACACTCATGACATCCACTGAGGTAGGATGATATGATAAATGTTTGTTAGAAGTGCTGATGGTGAGCGTCTTCTTTCGATTCCATGCATCTAAATGTTGTTTTGCCTGGATATGTATATAGTTGTTGTTAAACTTTCATTTTGCATTGGAAACTCTTAACCCTAACCCTCAATATACTTTATATTTTTTTAAAGCAACAAAATCATCCATAGTTGAGGAGTGCACATGTTTTAACCAAACTGAGCAAGCGATAACACATCTATTGCAAGAAACAGGTATCAAACCACTTCACAAGAAGCAGTGCACAGTGCCAATGAGCATCATTTCTGGTATAAATCCCTTGTGATGTTGGTGAATAACAGTGTAACGTTGTATTTTACAGTTGGTGCGTTCCAGCGAGGGGCCCGTGCTGAGACGTCGTCGGCACCTGGATTCTTCAAAGCCGTACATTGCAGCCAAACTGGCCTCTCTTCCTCCCGCCTTCACTCTGGGCGATGAGCAAAAGTACAACGGCTTCTACAACCGGCCCCTAACCAGCCAGCAGGATTATCTATGCTTTGTCCTGGCTGCACTAAGAGACGACAATTATGTAAGACATGTTTTTTTCCCCTACTCATGATTTGCATTTACAGTACAATAATGGCCATATATATGTATACAAAAATCCTCACTTTATCAAGACTATCTTTTACTCCAATTTGTAAAGCCACCCATAATTTCAAATATAAAATCCAATCAGATGATAAGTGCTCTCTACTGAAAGAACATTGCGAAGACATGTTTATGTTGGTTGTATATTGTCTGGTCTACTTTAAAGCTCGATTCCCGGCATCTTTCTTCTTCTGTCGAACCCATTTAAATTTATCAGCCAGTTGTCAGCCTCCAAGTGCATCTCTTCTCAAGTGTTTGTAAAATGGGAGATGTGGCCAAACAGTTGTTTTTGTCTTTACTGCCACTTACCCTTTAAGGCAACCTCTAAAAGTCATTGCGGCAAGCTCTGATAACTCTTTTATCAGTCCAAGTGACATCAGAGATTTAGCTTTTCTATTAAGTTTTCAAGCTGCACTCCATGCAGATCCACACACAACAACCCACTTAAGACAAAGAGTTCTCACCAGGCTCCAGAGGTAACCTTTTCAGCTGTGTGTGTCCCACAAGGTTGGGACTTTGGCCATGTGGTGATAGTAGTTTGTGACAGCAATGCAAATACTAGAATAGGGCTCAGTCCAGTTAAAGTTGCTGTAACATATGAAGTATGAGAATAGTCCTGCTGAATGCTGTGGCAAGTGTTGTGTTTACTGTCTGAGGGCAAGGGAGCACAGAGAGTACTTTTTGTCTCGTCCTTTCGTTTGTTATTGTTTGCATTATTTGACTAATTGGTTTCATGCTCCTAGGGCTCGGCTTTGCCTTTTTATAATCTAGATGTTGAAATATTGCGAGGTTACCATAGCAGCACAGTCATATGGTTATAAGCCCGGTAATGTGAGTTCGATAGCCCAATTATTATTCTGTTTAATGGTAAATTAGAATGTGAACTGTTTCTTAAAGATTTTTCCTAAAAACTATTCTGGAAATGTTAAGGTGCGCCCCAACATCTAATAACTAATATTCATACAGGTTACAGCAGTGTTTTTCAACCACTGTGCCGTGGCACACTAGTGTGCCGTATGATATTGTCTGGTGTGCCGTGAGAAATTCGTCTACTTTGTCTAAAAATAGCTGCATTCGCTGTTGACGAGCGGTGACTTGTTTTGAACTGTGAGTAACCATGTAGTACTTTTTCAAATCAGTAGATGGCAGCAGATAGCTAAGTACTTTGAAACTGAAAAATTGGATGCGACCACTGGCTGTAACAGGTCAGCATTGTGGCGAGAAAGGTAAAATTGGATGCGACCAACAAATGTGGGGAGGGAGCGAGACAAGAGCTTTGTGGCGAGTGAGAAGTGAAAGTGATAGAGACGTTTTTGAAAATGAATTATGCCGTTTCTGAACAGGATTAACATCCT